CCTGTCCAACAAAAAATGACTTGCATGTTTCACAAGTTTCTTCTGAATTGGTTAGAGGTATCTGGATGGTGGACTCATAGGGCAGTGACTGATATTTTGCACTGATTTATGTACATAATAAGCAAGTGCCCAGTCTGGATAAGTAGGTCTTCTGGGCAAGGGAACTTTTCAGGAGGCTTCATTATCCCCAGTTACATGGAAATGAATGGAAAACACCCATGTTGGGGGGAGGAAGTTAGAAGTATGAAGGGCCCTTCACTAGGGGTACAGAGGTTTGGATTCCAGTTGCGGCTCTCAGGGATAAACTGTGTTACCTTAGAAAAGTGACCCAGGCCCTCTGGAGTTCAGCTGCCTCATCTACAAAATGAGGGTCTGGACTAACTGGTCTTTAATGTTCCTTCAGGTTTTAGAACTTAATTCATGCATGAGTTCAGAGTTAAGGCAACAAGGTTAATGATACATAAGAGCAATGATTTTGATACATAAGAATTCTGCAATATGTAACTCCTAACTAAATAAAAAGGCTGAGTATAAACACATATCTCTGGAACCAAAAAAGAGGAAGTCAGAAATTTTATTTCGAAACTAAGTAAAGTTAAATGAGAGCTTTTTCTGAGCAAATCTATAAATCTTAATTTACATAAGCTGGTAAAACCATAAATACACTCAGTGATTCACAGAAGGGAATATTACATTTGCTATTATTAAGCCATAAAGAATTTATTTAAAATGTAATGGAAATGACAGGTATTTCTAATTCCTGAGCAAATGAAAAATTTGTTTTGTTTATGAATAGGGCCTAATTATAGTTTAATGCTAAGTATTTGCCTGAATTTTTTTTTTAAAAATTTCCAATGTTGTTTTTAAATGGTCTAATTACTTATTAAATGTACCTAGGAAGAGAATTACCCAAAGCCAACAAGAGAATTGGCCTAATAAACTTCAGTTTAACAAAGGTTTTCTTGCTCTTTAGTATGATTTTTCTTCTTCTTGATTTTATTGCATGTCGATCTTAATTCACTCTCAATAATTTACCTATCTCTTTTTTCTTCTTTCAAATTAGTGCTTTCTTTTTTAGATGTTTTGACTAAGTTGAACATAATTTATGCAGTTTACACCTTAAGTCACAGATGCTTTTTTTGGCCAACTTTATAAGCTTATTCTGCTTAAGGTAGAACTTCCTGAGTTGAAGAAAATAAAAATAGATTTTAAAGACATATGGTAAAGATGTTAAAGACTATTGTTTGTATTCTAGGATACTAGCAAATTGCTATCAGTGAGGCTGAGGGTTAAAAATAGATTTTGTCACCACTGATCATTTTTTAGAATGTTTTTCTATTAAATTTCTCTTATCACCAATGTTCTGCATTTGTAAAATGACTCAAGTTTAGAGGTATGAAATGTAAGCAGAATGAATCTAGTTGGCCCTTATGGATATAATCTTGACCTCATTAACATCACCCTATCAGCAGCTAAACTAATGGGTCACATTAAAATAAGAAACAATGTAATAACTGTCCGGGAAAGCTGGATTTTAGACAATAAACGCATTCTACTCTGCTCCAAGGCTAAATATTACACCTGGCTCCCTTTGGAATTCTCTAGGAAATAAGAGATTTGCTGCCAGAGCCGAGAATAAGAATTAGACACTAGCTTGTACTTCACTCAAGGTCACCTTCACTCTCCAGAGAGCCTGCGCAACAGCTTGAGCCCCTCCTAATCCAATCTAAATTAAATGGTAGAGGTAGCTTTTCAGCTTTCCATTCTGCCTGTGGTCTGTGCACTGTACTTGATCCCTTTATAAAATTAGTTTGGATTCCCAACTCATATAGGAGAGGCATTGACGAAGAGGGAAGAGGAGGAAAGGGAGAGGGCCAAATAGTTCACTGCAACAGCAGCAATGGTAGAAAGCTTTTAGAGAGTACTGAAAAGCAAACCCTGCATCTAAACCATATTTTGTAAAAAATAGTCTATATTACCCACATCCATAGATTCTCACATCAAATATCATAGACTCTGGTGGAAGGGGCTTGCCGGGGTGGGAATGACTGGGCGGGGTTGGGGGGATCAATTGGGGGAAAAGGAGACATATGTAAAACTTTAGACAATAAAGTAAAAAAATATATCATAGACTCTGAAATTATTTTAACCAAAAGGGAAGCTGGTGTTCTGGACCAGGGCAATTTTGAATAAGTTAATATTTAAAATGAGATTTAAAGAGATAGAAAATGGTAATCAGATGTTCTATAACTAATATCTACATGACTCTTTATATTATATAAAGTGTTGTTGTATATATTATCTTAAAGCTCATTTATTCTTGATAACATGAACAATGTGTGCCTATTCCTCTCCTTTATGAGCAAGGCTATATTTGATATTTTGAACAATAAGAGACTGTACTGGTTTGTTTGCTAAGGCTGCCGTAACACTTGGCCTATTTGGATTTGACACAATAGACATTGATCACAATTGATCATGGCACAGGTAGGATTTAGCAAGAGCAAAGTGGTGTTTTGAAATGATTTAAGCCATCATTGACAAATGAAGAAAAAGCCAACTAGAGGCGGGGAAAAGGAGTAAAGGATACTGTAATGACCGATATGTGTGATGACAAAGCCTGCAACATAATGAAAAGAATAGATAAAGGGAATAAATGACAACAATTATTAAAAGATATGCTGTCTGGCACAGAGCAGCAAGAGAGCCTCAATATAGTTATCTTAGATGATTGAATGAATGGTGGTACTCCTGAGAGAATCAGGAGTAGTTTGAAATTAGAATTGATTTGTGAGAAGGCGAGGACTTCAGGTTCCATTTTGATCATATGGAGTTTGAGGTAATAATGAGATATTTATTAAGTGTAGATTGGAAATACATGTGTAAAAAAGGCAGATCTGGAGATTAGTAAGGATTCGGGCAATGTTCATATCGGATAACTAAACTAATGTTATCTACCTATGAGAAAAATGTATAAAGAGGTGCCCTAGGGATTCTAATCATTGTCTAATAGACACACTCTGAGGAGCAGTTCAGTGGTGTATAATTTTTCTAGAGAAATAACCCAGGCTCAGCCTAACAAGTAATTCATACCTACCCCCAGACAAACTCACACTTGCTTCCAAAGGTCCAAGTTCTACCCAAGTCAGAATCACTGGAGGATTTATTCTCTGACTCATAACCCTATTAGCAGTGTGGGAACTGGAAGTTGGTCTCTGTTTATCAACAATCTTCATCAGAAAGAAAGTGAGACAATACAGTGTCTGGAAGAGTAGGCAATCCATTGCAATTGAGAAAGGGCTCCTGACATCTATTGTAAATTATTCTTTTCCAAGACTAACTCATCTCTTTCCTCCTTCCACTCTTCTTCCTACCCTTGTCAAGATGACTCTGAAGAGGACAAAGACTTCTTTTTAGTTGGACACAAATTTAGGTGACCTGCAATAGATTATGTCAAGAATGATTCTGAAATACTTCTTGGGTTCCGGATAGGACCATGATGATGATATTCGACAAAGAAAGCCTAAACCTTCCAACACAAAGGCATTCACTTGTCAAAGGAGTGAAAGGCTTCCAGGGATTTTTCAAGCTCTTCTAAAACCTAAGAACTGTAGACCAACTTAGGAGAGTGGGGCTGATCATAAAAAGAAATCCAAGCAAACAGTGGGAGCAGTTGTCTGTCAGTGACACCCAGGTGGGCAGAGTATGCTGTTACGTAAACCCAACAGCAAGATATGATATGTCCAAGCAAGCAAGGCCAAGGCAGTCTGACAGAAGGTCACAGGGACCCTGGTTTAAGAACTTGGGTTCAGACATAGCCCTTTGTATGCAGAATGTCATCAAAGGAAAGGCAATGCCCCAAGGACAGCGGCGCAGGGAGGGGGGTCAGCAGAGATTCAGGAATTGGGGAACAAGACAGCAGACCACTTCCTAGAACTGGGAACAGGCAGGGGTTGGTCTCAAGCCAACAAGTTCAGTGATTCCATTACTGAAAATGAGAATGAAGGGGCCTGTACAGCACAGCTTACATGACTAATGAATTAATTTATTGATCATGATTAAAAGAATACTATAAAGAAATCAGTTCACTAACAGCTTATTAACTACCTAGTCCCTTTCCATTGGTATTTTTTTTTAAATTTTTTTCAATTACAGTTTAATTTAATATTATTTTGTATTAGTTTCAGGTGTATAGCATAGTGGTTAAACAATCATATACTTGAAAATGTGTTCCCACTGTTATTTCCAGTTCCCATCTTGCACCATACATAGTTATTACAATATTATTGATTATATTTCCTATACTGTACTTTGCATTCCCATGACACTTTGTGACTACCAATCTGTATTTCTCAATCCCTTCACCTTTTTCACCCAGTCCCCTAGCCTCCCCTCCCCTCTGGCGATCATCAGTCTGTTCTCTGTAGCTGTGGGTCTGTTTCTGTTTCATCAATCTTTTTCTTTAGCCAAGAAATCTTATCATCTAGTTAGCTTTACCCTTTTTAATGTTGACTATCACTTCAAGAAATCATTCCTAACTAAATTATTTTAAATAGTCTCAAGAGAAAGGAAGGCAAGTTGTTGACTAACCACCAGACTGAATCTTTTCCTTAGTAGGGAACACACACATCACTTTCATTTTCTCAGCCTTATGAGTATAGGTGCTTGTTTCTTACCCATAAAGTTCTGGATTATCAGGGCCATGCTAACGCCAGTGTAGATGACATAAAAACTATTAATAGATGATGTCTGTAATAAACCTGAAGTAGGAAACAGAACTGTTCCAAAAAAGAGAAGTATAAAATAGAAGAGGAAAAAAGGCAGTTAAGATGACTGTCTTGGTGAAAGGAGATATTTCAAAAGAAATATAAAATCTTCATGGCGCTCTTAACTACCTATATTTGGATTTTTGTGTGTGGCTATTTTATCTTGCTGATCAGTGAAAGAAGAAAGAATACATTACATTTAATTAAACATTTTTAAACTTTTTCTTTGCTCAGAACCAGCTCCTCCAAAATCACTCTTTGCAGTGAATAAAACCCAGACTTCGGTGACTCTGCTGTGGGTGGAAGAGGGGGTAGCTGATTTCTTTGAAGTCTTCTGTCAACAAGTTGGCTCTGGTCAGGAAACAAAACTGCAGGTACCGTACACGCTCGTCTTCCTTCTCTGAGTTACCTTTGATTAAGGCTAATTAGCTGAGCAAAATGAAAACCTTTGCTTTCTTAGACCGATAGAAAATGAAAACACTGCATTTATGCTTTTGTGTTTCAGTGAGAGAAATTAACAATATGCTCAGAACAAGCCCAAAGTAGGTTGTAGAACCAAGTTGCCAAATTGCCAAGTTTCTTTTCAACTTTGAACTTCTCTTTTGTCCCTAAACCTTAGCCCCTCTGGTTCAGACTGAAGGATTAAGGGGGTTCACTTTTCCTTTTGGATATTAAATCCATTGAGAGGATGAAGACACTGCCATGGAAAACATAATTTAATAAACATGAACTGATTCCAATTTTGTGAAGATCACTGTATGGAACACAAATGGCAGAATTAATACCTGCCTTCAAAAAATTTTTTCATACAGTTGTGGATAGTTCATTATTCTAGAAATAATGAAATTAAAACAAGTGCCACAAGAGAGATGCATATTACTAAGAAAAATGAAAAGAAGGGTCCATCTCTAGTTAGTAAGGAAGGAAGATAATTTTGTTTGGGAAAATGTAGGATGGGTGAGGTGATTGTTAAAGCTTTAGAATCACAGACAGCAAATATGATGAGCACTGAGTTGTCTGACAGCTCAAAAATATTTCACAGTCAGACATGGAAGGAAAATGGAAAGTGTGAGGCATATCATGAAATACAGTGAATAATTGATGCTTTTAAAATAATGAAATTCTTGAGATTGAAAAAAAAGATTTCTGGGAGTATAAATCTTTTTAATACTCAACCGAGTGTTAAGATAATTTGCTTTATTCCTTTTCCCTTTTGATATTGACTTCTACTAACTATCTCTTTTTTATCTCTACTGGACAGCAGAATCTTTTTTTTTTTTCCATTCTAAGAATCCTTTTTGAAAACCATTGCTCTGCCAGGAGTGGGTTTTTTTTCTCTCTAGAACTGCAGTGATATTTTCTTTACGAAAACAAGGGGTAGTCTGCTACTTCCTATAACTGAGTCTTGTTAGCAAGTCTTTTCTTAGAAGCATTCTTTTATAGGATAGTGAGAGATGGGAGTGGGAAATAGTGCTGATGCCTTTCATCTCTTTAGGCAGTAGTTTTCAGGTCCTTATTTTACTGGCTCATCTTTTTATTTTGTGCAGTAATACTTGTCACTAGTCTGACTATTGGCTCACCAAATTAACAACTTATTCTGCATAGAATAGGTTAATATTAAATATTTTTGAGAATGCAAAGTCACTATGCCTTTGGTGGATGCTACTTAAAAGCTGAGAATGCAGACAAAGGGAAGGGGGAGGGTGTCCTTAATATACAAAGAACTACCACAAGTAAAAAAGATAAAGACCAACAACTCAAAACAAAGATTTCACAGAAAATAAACACAAAAATCTCTCAAACATATGAAAAGATGGTCAACCTTCTCTCATGGAGAAAGAAATGCAAAATAAAATTACAGTGAGGTATAGTTTCCACTAATAAGATTGGAAAAGCTCAAAGTTTGCCAGTATGCTATGTTAGAAGTAGTTAGGGAAACAGGCATTGTCAGACATTGATAGTAGGTAGATAACTTGGAAATGTCTATGGAGGACACTTTCAAAATTAAAAATACACAACTTTTGACCCAGCAATCTAATTGCTATGAATATGAAAATATATATACATACATACATGTGTATTTGCGAACATATACTTATGTTCCCATAATTGTGAAGTTATGTTCCCTGTAGCATTGTTTATAACTTATTTTTCACTGCTATCCTTTCTCGTCTTTTAAATTTTTTACTCTGTCCCTCCATTACCAACTCAACTATGAAAAATTTAAAAATCAAAATAAATGAAGGTTACATAACATTTATTTAATTTTCTGCATCTCCAGGAACCGATTTCTGTTTCTTCTCATGTTGTGACCATCTCCAGCCTTCTTCCTGCCACTGCCTACAACTGTAGTGTCACCAGCTTTAGCCACGACAGCCCCAGTGTCCCCACATTTATAGCCGTCTCAACAATGGGTAACTACATGCAATAGGGGGATCTGGTGTCTTTAAAAGTTATATCTTTCCAAAATTTTTGTATGTTTTATATATATATATATATATATATATATATATATATATATATTACTTTTCATGGAACCCATGCTTGTTCTATTGAAAAATTCCAAGCTTTGAGATCAGGGAGTGCTTAATTTCGATCCCTATGTGATTTAGGGGAAGATATTTCCTATATCTGAACCTTTGTTTATTCATCCGTCAAGCTAGAATAATAATATGTACCTTGTTGAGCTGTTTTGAGGCTTAGAAATAAAGGACATGAAATCCTGGCACATGCTGTCTAAATGCTAGTTGGCATCAATGTCACCATCCTCTTCAGTGGTAGCCACAGTGCCCTAACCAACTCCGGTTCATCTAGTTCAGCTTTGGCCATTAGCTGTCAAATCATGGCAAGACTCAATTTCTGGGCCAGAGCAGAAAAGTTTCCAATCAAGCAGAAACTATGAGTGGGGAAATTTAAAAATAATGAAAGGTCTAAAATAATGCTGTTTCCTTATTCTTTTTCTGAGTTATACGTTTTATTCCCCTCTTTGTTGGAGTCTGATTCTACAATCTGAGATCTCCCATGAAACTGCCTGTAATAAAACCACTCTTCTTATCACATTACCCTTTACTGGATCCATTTTCATTTCTGTGACATTTATCATATATTTAGCCACTGTATCCAATGATGAATAATGTAGGCTTTTTTGGTTTGTTTGCTTTGGATTTTTAAATTTTTCTTTTTTCAGAAGAGAGAAAAAAAATAGACCTAATAAGTATATCATATCAATAGTATCTCACTTTAATATCCTTTTACACTCTTCTAAATGTAATTTATTGTTCATTACTCCTTGTCATCTCTACAACAAGCCAGAAGCAGTTGATATTATTAAACTTATTTGTTAGTGAGGATAATGAGGTCCAGAGAGACAGATAAAACAGCCTCCCCAAATGGCAATTGGTAGTCAAGTGAACTTGAACCAGCTCTTCTGACCATGAGTCTACTGTTCTTTCTGCTCAAGTACTCTGCCCATGAACTGGAGCCACATTGTCCCAAATGGGAAGTGGCAACACCCAGAGACTTAGAGATTGTATATGCCAGCCAGTTTTGTGATGTTATGATCAGTACAGAGGATGGTATCATTCTTGTCTTCTCCTCTGGCCCACTGTTAGTAGTTTTATAAAACATTTGGTATAAATTCCTACCTTTAATACCTTGCTCTTCCATGAAGTGTGATGAGCTAGGCAATGTGTAGTGCCATTATAGACCGATCATCATATAAAGTATATGAAAGGGACACAACCTCTGTTCTCAGGGGCCCTACAACTTATGAAAAGGTTTAATCTCTTGAGTTGTACAGATGGAAAACCTCTCAACATATGGTTACAGATCATCAGAATGCCTGCTTCTAGCGATGTGTTAAGTGCTGTAGCAGATGGCAGCTCGCTAATGCCTTTTTCATATACATTATTAGTTGTGAGTGAAATAGACAGTGGTGCTTTCTGACTTTAAAGTCGTGGGTGTAAAATAGGAGTTTGCAAGCTTCTGAAAAAGTTAAAGAATGAAAATACATGATAATGACTTCCAATGAATTTAAACTATATCACAGGAATTACAGTTTATCATTTCCCTTTATAGAACATCCAGAATGTAGGCCTTAAATACTTTTGATCAATCCACTAACTTGTAGTTGACCAGGAAGAGGTTATTGTCAGGTTGGAGAAATATCATTGTTGCTGTTGTTGTTGTCACAAGTCCATAGCTCTCAAAATCAGATGGAAAACCATGAGTGGGTTCGGTTGGTGTCCATGTAATGGAAGCTGTAACTAAAATGTATGGTGTATCTGTTTAGTTACAGTGATGAATCCCAATGTGGTGGTCATCTCAGTGCTGGCCATTCTTAGCACCCTGCTAATTGGATTGCTGCTGGTCACCCTGATCATTCTCAGGAGAAAGCATCTGCAGATGGCTAGGTAAGTTAAGCTTGGTTAATCTTTTACCCATAGCCTTTACATCATTTTATTTATTATACAGGTATGCTTTTATAGCAGTAAGTTGTCTACTTCTATTCCATGTTTTCTTCTTTAAATTTATCTTTATTATTGAAATTATTACCAATGTCCTCCTTTTCCCCCCTATTGACTCCCGTCACTGCTGTCCCCTCCCCAGCCTTTATCATACTATTGTCATGATTTCTAAGAAGACTTTTAATATTATTTTAGAAAACATTACCATTGGAAAGGTAAAGCCAAACATTGTTGGTTTACACAAAATCAGACCTCGTATCTATGGATCTTGTCATTTTAAGTGGCCCATACATTACATTTGGATAATTTCAAAGTTGTTTTGGAGTAAAAGAAAAATCTATAACTACTCAGAATGATTGATAAAATAAGTTAATATATGTGGAGACCACAAGAAAGAAAAAATCCCCTTCCTCATTAGTTCTGTTGAAGCTGTCTTATGATAAATTATTTGTAGAGTTTGTGATTAGGTTCATTAAAAGTCCCCCATCATTTTTGTTCATATCATTCAGAGTTGCAGGCAGTTTCATTTCTCTTGCAGTTAGAAAAGCCTTTTGATTTATGATTTTGATGATTCCCTATTCCTTTGACCACTGATGCATTTCTTATCAGAGAACATTGTCAAGAACAATGTGGTCTGTACATTATCAAAACAATTATAAGTTCTCTTAAAATACACACACACACACACACACACACACACACACACAACCAGTTACCTAGTTAAGTACTAGCAGGTTTGGGGGTTTGGGAAATTTTATTCAAATTTATATTTGCCCAATGTTAATTGGCTGACTTGTCATCAATCAACATTCTTCTTTCTCAGAGTTCTATCATTCACCTATTCTTAAATAAATGTATGGCATAGTCAAAGAAAAATCAGATATCCAAGCATCCAAGCTGTCCACGAGGAACTTAAAGCCTAGCTGGAGACTTGTAGATAAATAAATACATTGAAAGGTATGAACTGACTTGTATTAGGAAGGATATAAAAATGGAATAACATGAAAGTAAAGAAAAGAGATTAGTCAAGAATATAAAAATCAAGCTTCTTAATGTTGGCATTAGAACAAATCTTAGAAGGTTAGTGAGGGTAGTGGCACAGCACTGTGGCTAGAACATGAAGTTCTGAAATCATACTCCTTAGGGTCAAATCTTGATTTACAACCTATGTGTCCCTGGGGAGCCCACGGAAACTTTATCCATTCATTTAACAAGTGTCATTTGACACCTGTTTTGTGTCCGACTCCTCTGAGTGCTTGGAATATGACAGTATACAAAACAGGCAGCTTAGCTTCTAGTGAAAAAGATAGACAATAAATACTAAAGGTAAAAGTTAAAATATTAGGTTGTATATTAGCGGACAGTAACAGAAAAATAATAAAGCAGAGTAAGAGAGATTGGCAGTACCTGTTTGGGGAATATGAGGACAGGAGCTCTGGGAGGGAGGTAGATCTCACTGAAAGGGTGACATGTAAGAAAAGACTTGAACATGAGAGAGTTAATCATGTGGTATCTGGGGGAAGTGTGCACCCAAGAGAGGAGGCAGGAACACGACTAGCAGGTTCAAAGACTAGCTGGATGTCAAGAGTAGCTAAAGCAGCGGAAATGCATGGAGGAGCAGCAGGAGGTGATGTCAGATCATACAGGGTTTCATAAGCAGTTGTAAAGACTTCGGCCTTTACCCTGAGTAAATGGGCAGCCATTCCAGAGTTTAAGCGGAGATTAAAAATACCTGACTTACATTTTAACATTTTCATTGTGACTTTTATGTAGAACAGGCTGTAATAAGGCAAGGACAAAAGCAGGCCTGAGAACTGAGGCAGCCATGACCATAATCCAGGCAAGAGCGAGACGGTAGTAGTTCAACCCATAGGAGTAGCAATGGTGGGTAGGGGAAAATGATCAGATTCCAGGTATATTTTGAAAAGAGAGGCAATAGGATTTTCTAACAAATTACATGTTGGATGAATATGAAAGGAGTCAAGCATAACTCCCAGGTTTTGGGCCCTACCAACCAAAAAGATGGAATTGTCATAAACTGAGATAAGATTTCACATGAAAGGGTTTTGGAGGGGGGACATCAAGACTTTAGCTTGGGAAACGTTACACTGGAGATGACTGCAAGTGCAGGTGTGGAGTAGGAGCATAAAAGTCTGGTGCTCAAAAGAGAAGTCTGGATTGAAGATATAAATTTGGGAGTTGTTAGTATATACATGGTGTTAAAGCTGTAGAGGGGATGAAATCCAGGAAGTGGAAATTAGAAAAGAAATCTCTGGATTAAGCACCAGAATAATCTAGTATTAAGATTTTCATGGAGAAAGAAAAGGGTAGCAGCAAGAGCGACTGACACAAGACATCCAGTGGAATGAAAGGAAAACTACAAGTGAGGAGGTCAAGGCATATCAAGAAGAGGATATCTGCCTGGCTGGTGTGGTTCAGTGGTTGAGCATTGACCTATGAACCAGGAGGTCACAGGCTTGATCCCCAGTAGGGGGTGTGCAGGCGGCCTCTGATCAATGATTCTCTCTTGTCATTGATGTTTCTATCTCTCTCTCTCCCTTCCCTTCCTCTCTGAAATAAATAAAATTGTATTTTTAAATAAAGAAGGGGACAAGAACCCCTACATTAGTGGATAGTGAGGAGCAATAATGCAGTAATAGCACAGCATAATACTCAACTCATAGGGAGTGTGCAACAAATGCTAGCTCGTAATAGCAATAGCGGAGGGGGTGGTAATGTGGTAATGGGGGTAGTGGTATTAATGAGGGTGTTATTGCAGGAGCATCCTCAATGCTGCAAACAGCAAAAAAAAAATTTAGGACAAGTGGTTCTAATTCCGCCAGCTGGTTATTAGGACAGAGGTTCTTAACATTTTTTGTGCCATGATCTGCTGGAAGTTTGAGTATGCTGTGGCTCTCTTCCAAGAATAATGCTTTCTTTTTAAGTGCATAAAATAAAATACATAGGATTGAAAAAGAAACTAATTATGTTAAAATATGGTCATCAAAGTATGTAAAAGAACAAATGTGTTGTGTGCTTCTTTATTAATGCATTAGGTAACAATATTTAGTAAGTGTACAGTAATTCTCATATTTCACCACAGTGATAAAGACAGTATTTCAATACCTGCAGAAAAGCCATTGTAGAAAAATATTGGCAATTTCTGTTATTAGCAAATCTCACAAGTACTGATGATATTATTGTGACTTGTTACTTACTCTAATAATTGAAGAAACTACTAAATATATCTTCATAGAGCCCTAAATTCCATCCTTGGAACCCAGTTTAAGAACCCCTGAATTTGAGGGCAAAAAAAATTTCTTCTAAGTTAAATGTAAATAAATTTCTATATATTATAGGAAATGGACAAAGGAAAGTCAATTGATGTATAATTTAAAATACAATCCTATCTAATAATAAAGAAACATGGTAATTAACCGTAACTTCGCTACCCTTCCCATTGGCTAATCAGGGCGATATGCAAATTAACTGCCAACCAAGATGGCGGCCAGCAGCCAGGCAGCTGAAGCGAACAGGAGGCTTGCCTGCTCCAGTGATGGAGGAAGCCAAGTTTCCCCGCCTGCTGCTGCCAGCCTCTGAGCTTGCACTCGAAGAAACAATGTTACAATTATAGAAGCTAAACAAACCCCAGAAACCTGCTTTCAGCCATCAGAGCTGGAGCGAGCAGGACCGCAACAGTGTTACAATTATAGAACCCAAACAAACCCAGATACCTTCTTTCAGCAGCTGAGGTCTCAGAGCTGGAGCCGAGCCTCAGAGCTAAAGCCAGCTCTCAGCTCCAGTGACAGCCATCGAAGGTAAATAAATCCCAGAATAAAAAGAAAAAAAGGAGAGGTTGGGAGCTTCAGTCACCCGCCAGCCTGAAAACGGCCCTCAGCCCCTCACCCAGACTGGCCAGGCACCCCAGTGGTGACCCCCACCCTGAATGGGGTGTGACCAGCTGCAAACAGCCATCATCCCCTCATTCAGGCTGGCCAGGCACCCCAGTAGGGGCCCCCACCCTGGAGGGGGTGTGACCAGCTGACAACAGCCATCATCCCCTCATCCAGGCTGGCCAGGCACCCAAGTGGGACCCCCACCCTGATCCAGGACACCCTTCATGGCAAACCAGCCGGCCCCCACCCGTGCACCAGGCCTCTATCCTATATAGTAAAAGGGTAAAATGCAAAGTGACCCTAACAGCAGAAAGACTGGGAATGACTGGTCACTATGACACACACTGACCACCAGGGGGCAGACTCTCAATGCAGGACCTACTCTCTGGTGGTCAGGCCGCTCTCACATGGGAGGAGCTCTGCTCAGCCACAAGCCAGGCTGATGGCTGCCAGTACAGCAGTGGTGGTGGGAGCCTCTCCTGCCTCCTCAGCAGCGCTAAGGATGTCCGACTGCAGCTTAGGCCTGCTCCCCCCTGGCTAGTGGACATCCCCCAAGGGCTGCCGGGCTGCCAGAGGGATGTCTGATTGCCATCTTAGGCCCAATCCCCCGGGGAGTGGGCCTAAGCCAGCAGGTGGTCATCCCCTGAGGGGTCCCAGACTGCGAGAGGACACAGGCCAAGCTGAGGGACACCCCTCCCCCCGAGTGCACAAATTTTTGTGCACTGGGCCTCTAGTATGATATAATATAGTTGTGTATTTTTCAAAAGAAGAAAACTATTCTTAGAACATCTGATAAGAACAGTAAAATAGCTGAATTAGCATATTGTGCCAGTAATGTCAAAATTTCTGCTTCAATTCTGAATAAGTCCACCAATTTCATGGAGAGGGAAAATGAGATGCATGAGCCCCAGTGAGCTACATTATTGATGCATGATATTAAGCAAAAGATGGAGAAGGCATGAGAATATGTTTACCCTTTTACTCCAATTCTAGAAAAAAGTTAACAGTATTTTCTACTGACAGACTAATGAGCAACATTCTGGATAAGAGGCTCTGCACAGGAAATCTGTTTTAATATGTATCCTTCTTTTACTCTCATCTCAAGTGATGAATACAATGGGGATCACAGCATGAGGGGAAATTTTGGTGGAAGGAAACAATACACCTTGATCTACCATCATTATAGAGAGGGAATCAGTATGCTATAAAAAACAAAATCCTGTGAAGAATATTTGCTAAAAACAAAAACAAACAAACAAACAGAAAGAAACCTTCATTTTATCTAGAAGAGTTGCTATAACTTACTTTGTAAAAAATATTAAATCACAAATAGTTCAAAGATTTATTTAGGATCCTGAGTGCCCTTTGGAAAGGATTGTGAACTGAAACCTTTTGGCCTCAGCTTGCTGTGGGGATGTGTGACCTTGTGAAAAATTGTTTTGTTTTGCTTTATCTTTCTATTTCACATTTCATGCAAAGAGAAACCCATAGAACTCATTATAGCTTTATAAAATGTAACATTATGATGATGAGCCGTAAAGACTCATATGTCGCGGTAAAAGAGTGCTCCGTCAAGCAGTCACTTTGATCTTGTGATTCCTTTCATACAGGGAGTGTGGAGCGGGAACTTTTGTCAATTTTGCGTCCTTGGAGAGGGATGGAAAGCTTCCATACAACTGGTGCGTATTCTTTCAGAACAAGCCTCCAGACCGCTTAGCTACGCTGTTTGTGCTCCAAACTGTGTTTTACTATCTTCAGGGGATAAATGTTTTTTGTCTGTTTATCCTTTTTCATAATTTCTCTGACAGTGGACTTTCAAAGGTTAGATCTGCACAGAGTATATTGGTATAAATTAGTTTAATACAATTACGAAGTAGCAAACGTGTCATAGTCTGCTCTGTATTTACTATATTAAACAAAGGACTAAATCATCAGATAAGCAAGTAGCCCATTACTGTGCCCAAGAAGGGCTTACACTGAACAAGTGGGGGCTGGCGGCATGACAAGAAACCCCACTGAAGCATGTGGCACAGACAGCATCTCTACTTACACTCACCTCTCAGTGCCTGGGGACATGAGCCACCACCTCTGTTCAAACATCAAGGAGAAGTATACAGCCCAGGGCCCTCGACTCCCACTTAAGGGTAAATAAATATCAAAGCCAAGAAGGCTCCATGAGAAAACATGGCATCATTTTTCTTTATTCTTCAGTATTTAGGACCTGGAGGGAGGAGGTATTTTGAGAATAAAGGAAGCACTTTCAGGGGATTCAATTGGTTGACATTGTACTTAACAATGATACGTGAGAATTAACGATACATGGCAATCAATACCCAACGAAACGGCTAATTAAGTAACCATTTACTATAGCCAGCGCTGCTTACATGAGCTAGTTTGGCTTTTGTGCAAGCAACCATACAGACATTTCATATTAATTCTTGGTAAGTGATCTTTGTTCTGCTTTTACTAATCCCCCCAAATGATTAATCTGAAAGAAATCAATATGTGATACTGGAAATTTTACTCTACAGAATCAATGAGGGAGGGAGGGTTCTATTTAAAATATAAACTCTACCTCCCTGAGTGGGCACCTATCTACTTGAGGCCCACTCTAGTTGAAAGTCTAGTTGGAATAGGATGCTTTTGTGTTATTTTTAAATTTCAGCCCGAATGGAATTTTGCTATTCGAATATGACTAATCCAATGGTGAAGAGAGAGAAATTCATAAACCCTTGATGGTGAAAAGTTAGGAGACATTTTGTTCAAATATATTACCACATTTTGCAAGATGAAGAGACTAATGCCCTGATACTTGTTTGCCGCCTGGCCCATCCTTAAAAATGGTCCGGTCACAGAGCGGTGGTGAGCGGCTCAAGTAGGAAATGATTCATTTGTACACGTGACCCAGGAGAGCTGTGTATTGACTGCACAACCAGTCACAGCTTCTAAAATATGGGAGACCCGTTACGGGAGAACTGAGGCAAAAGAGACTTCACTTCAGGACTTTTCTATAAAATCAAGAAAATTCTCAACTCTTGGCAAAGACAGGTTTTCCAGGCCCAGCGTTTTCAGGCTGAGCATAGCTACCTCAGTGCAGATTTGTGAAAACTAAAGTGACAAGGCGACAGCATTGCCCCCTAATTCTCAGAATAGCTATCGATGCAACCATATGATATTTTTAAATCTGCATTAATGAATGTTCTATGTTACAACTGGTTGGAATATTTGAAATTGGTTTCAAACCATGCATTTTAGACCAACAGTCTGAAAAAGAATTAAAGTGAAACTCAGTAGTTTTGCTCCCACTCCGCTGAGCACTGGTTAAGCTCACAGACTGGGCTACTGTTCCTGAATGAATGGCACCTGATGTCATGCCCCACCTCCGTGCTAAGGGTTACTTTTTAGAAACGGTGTATACGTTAAAATAAAATTAACGTAGAAAGTCACAGTAATGCACTAAAAATGCTGCTTGACAGGAAAGTGTCCCGAAAGCGTTGAGTCTTCACCAGGACCGGTACATGTAAACTCACCATTTATATTCCCTCCCACAGCTGCCAAATGATGTTTTACAGGTTCCTAAAAATAGACTTAGTTATGCACTGCAAGGGTAATACCCAAGAGGAAGACTTGAGATAACTAATGAGGCATTTAAGCGCTTCATTTCACTGAATGCGAAATGTAATCACCTAATAGCAGACTAATTAACACAAAATACATTAGAAAAGAAATCTGATTACAATAAGAGGCTGTGTGTGAATGAAACTGATTTTGACAATATTATAGCACTTCAGCCCTCAGGTTTAAATTTCACAGAACGGAATGATATTTCATTATAATTAAGGTGCTCATTTTACTTGATTCCAGTGAATAATGTACTGATGTCTGTTCACGATTTATCTTACTAACTCTTGCCACTTCTTCACCTTTACATCTGTTATCTATTAATGCTCACAGGCGTAGGAGTATATTTGCTTTCCTAACCCTGCTACCTTCATGTCTTTGGACTGATTATCTTTTGGCATTTTATATTAATCCTTGGTAAGTGATTTTTATCTTATTTTTACTATTTACCTAACACAGCCTTTAAAAGTTAGCTTTTGGGGAGTAAACAAAACAGAAAAATTCTTTTATGTGTTGGCAGCATCTAAAATTATTCATCAGTGAAATGAATTAAAACAGTGGATGGTACCGAGATGCTAACAAAAACGTTTCCCGATTAAATTTTCTTCTTGCGATGTTCTGGCACGCTTTCCTCCCACGCACTACCCGTCATTTGTTTCTTCCCGAGTCAATCCAATGGCCTCTCATCTTGATAAATGATGCTTTCCATTTTCCCTCCCATCTCCATCCATTGCAGAGCTCCATATTCCCAAGAAGGAAGAAATGCATTGAGGTAGAGAAACCCAGAGCACTACCCCCTCATTTGGCGCCTCCACGTGGTTTTTTTGTATAAGAATGCTAACCTAATGAACATGGGGCATGTTCAAGCCTCTTTGTATAACTGTCTTATTTATTTATTTTTTTTTATTATTTTAATATTTCTTTTATTGATTTCAGAGAGGAAGGGACAGGGAGAGAGAGAGTGAAACATCAATGATGAGAGAGAATCATTGATTGGCTGCCTCCTGCATGCCCCCCACTGGGGATCGAACCCGCAACCCTTGGCTGGAATTGAACCCAGGACCCTTCAGTCCGCAGGCTGATGCTCTATCCACTGAACCAAACCATCTAGGGCTTTCTTATTTCATTGTCATTACTCTGCAGAGGGTATTGTCACCCCATTTTAGAGATATGGAAATATAGGTAGAAGAAGATTAACTAAGCACTTGATAAGCTACTGTTCTTGAATGACTGGTACCTGAGTGTCATGCCATACCTCCATGTAAACTGTTACTTTTTTAGAAATGGCATATAAGTTAAGATAAAAGGCCGCAGAAAGTCACAGTAGTGCACTAGAATGCGGCTTTATACGAATGTGTCCCTTGCTTAATTCTTTGATTTTTCTCATTTTCCACCATTCATTTTAAGCTTATATCAGGCGGGCCTATGCTTATTTGCATGTCTTTTTTAATATATATATATATATATATATATATGTGACTTTTTATTGATTTTAGAGAGAAAGAGACATTGATTTGCTGTTCCACGGATTGATGCATTCGTTGGTTGATTCTTGTGTGTGCCCTGACCAGTGATTGAACTCCCAATCTTGGTGTATCTGGACGATGCTCTAACCATCTGAGCTACCCAGCCAGGGCTTGCATGTCTTTTTTAATAGGTCCCTCTGGTGAACACAAGATCAAATTTCAGCAACCCTTCAAGGTCCACTATTTACAGTACTAATCAAATAACATGAGACCCAAGTTAGGGGTAAATACCCTTCAGTAGTTTGTAGAAAAACAATCCTGAAATATGAAATGGTTCTCTCCAGGCAAGAACCGAAGGCAAAACATAGAGCCCCATGCTTTCTGTCACTTTCAGTAAACTGCACACACACAGATCAATCAATAAAAATATACTGATCATAATCTATGCTTTCAGCCTGAGGCTTGTGCCATGCCAAATATCGAAGTAAAATCCATGGTCCCTTCTCCTAGCTTAGCTCAGTACTCAGAAAGCTGCCCGAATTCCCTGCTGTTTGCTACTTTTCATCTAATGACTCACCCCCCTCCTAACACACTGCCCAGCTTCTTCTCTAAACTATCCACTTCACGAGAAGATATAATCCTATTGGTTTTCTAAAATCCTCCTGATGTCTCTAGTGGTTCGTGTGTAAATCAATTCTCTTTCTCATAGTGTCGCTGGAATCTTTTCCCAGGATGCTCACAGATTCGGGGCTGAACCCCTGTGATCAGTTGGCTTAGTTAAGGATTGTATTCTGCCACGATTTCTGACTTTCATGATCTCAGATCGTCTGTCTGGATTCAGTGTTATTACCCTCTTTTTTCTTACTTCCATATTCACCCTCATACTGTTCCTGACTATGCATCTGCCTGTTCTAAGTCCTCCACAGTTGTTGACATTCTAAGCATGAAGTAACATTTACTTTAAAATGCTAAGCTTTGCTCATGGTTATTGCATGCTCTACTCGGAGGATGATGTAATTCTAAAGACCTTTTCTTAAGATTTGGGGGTGATTTCCATTTAGCTCATGAGAAAGTAAGTAGTGCTTATGAAATTGGGAATGTCTAGACTTTGGGGAGGGGTTTGTTTTTAATTATCATGAAGCCCATGCTCTGTCATTGCTTTATATTCTTCTTTGCAATGAGTTCCAATTTGACTAGCTTTCTAAGACTGTCATACCATGAAGGACTTACCAAGAATGCAGCTTAGCTTCTTGAAATCATTGGGGTATTGAGCCTTACCTAACATAAATGATAGGGAAAAATTAAAAGAAGTGTGTCATTCTATATGGACATATACCATATTTCTGGTGGTTATTGTCAGTTATTCATAAAATCTTTTGCAATGGGATGATACCCTAAGCATCACCCAACATGTTCATTGTAACATGCACACACACTAGCTTTTTCCATAATGTGCTGAAGTTAACATTGTTAGCAAAGCCTTAACTTACATGTTTAAAAATGAATTTCCCGTGAGGTTAGTCTTAGAATGAACATAGCAATTACAAATGTTGGATAATTATATCAGTATTGCTGTGGAGTCTCATAATTCAGTCCTTTGGTCATGTCCCACAGCCTTAGGGTAGCTATAGAATTTCAGCAAAACCTAGGTGTAACAATGAGAGTTGTACACAATTATGAAGACCTACAATTATGATGATCAGAGTATGACAGTGAGTCATCTTAAAGCATGTGGTAGAATTTCACATGGGTTTAAAGTTCATTCAATCAATGAATGAGATTGAAAGAAACACCAGTGCCTCTCCCCCATGAGTCAGATTTCTGCACAGCTGTGAATAGTAGCAGCTTAATATTTCAGCACTGAATTTATTCAGTGTCACCCTCCCACATACACTTGTTTCTTCCCCAGTTCCCTTACAGTCTGTTTGGTAAGGAAAGGTTTCTTTCTTTTAAAAAAATTCACTCCCAATCATAAAATATGTTGGCAGCCTCCTAACTTTGCCAGAACCATTAGTTATCTATGCTAACATTCTGCTACATGAAGTAAATGTGGTATTCCTAAAGTTAGCTGAATTACCATCGCAAGCGCTGAGTAATTATTCAAGGGACATTTCTTTAGGTTTCCAAATGCTTGTATGGTACAGCTCTGCCCAGCATTACAGTGGGGTTTTGAGGGGATAAGGGAGAGGCAAAGTAAAAACTGGAATGTTTATTCCCTTTAAATCCCAAGTATAGAAGACAAAGAGAGGATGAGGACAGGAATTATTGAATGGATTGTCTTCACTCAGAATTGGGAAAGAATAAAACCTACCCGAAACCATAAATACCACTTGCCTTACAGACATTTCCCTACATTTTCTGTCCTGCCTTACTTTCTCTCCATCCGAAAGTCCCATTTCTCCAATGGGACCTCAGGAGTCCAAGTATCAAATTCTTAATTGAATCATTAAGTAAAATGGTCAGGGTGACATAGCAAAGTTGTTTGTTTTAACTGAATTAAATCAGCATTTATTTAACACCCACTATGTGTTCCAATAACTGTGCTCAGCTCTGCGGGAAGGAATAGTCAAGCAGCCAGACTAGCAGTCTGATGGACAGACAGTCAGACAATGTGAGAAATGCCCCGCAAATAAAGCACTGTGCAAGCAGAGAAAGTAGTGCTTTATTCTGCTGAAGGCCTTCTGGAAATGGAGGTATCCAAGCATGCATAATTCTCATGTAAATAAATATTTTGGCACCAAGTTATTTAGTATAAATTGTTTATTTTCTGAAAGTTTGGTTGCTGCCATCAATTTTCAAAGATCCTTGAAAATACTTATAAAACGTATTTGCTCACAATCATACCTGGTATTACTTATGTAAGAAATTAAACTATAATAATGAAGTGCTTCAGCCGACTATCTTAGCATTAGCTACTAGGTCAGTTATCTTACTTGTTGATTGAAAACTATTCCCCTAAAGTACCCCCTTGTAATTAACTGAAGCATACCTTGTGTTGAGCTTACAAACTAGTAATGAATTAAGAACAACCAGGTAATTGGTTCAATTCCTCAAACAGCTTAAAAGCTAGTTTATAATTGAATATAAACAATGCCATAGTAGAATTATATAAGACACAAGCCAACACTGGTAGCACAAATTCACATGCCCAGCAAAAATGTTCAGAAAAGCTATTTTAGTTTTAATTAATAGACCAACATGTCCTCCCTCCCACCATTATTCCTCACTGTTATCCCCTGGTTTTTTGCTTCTTACCTATAGAACTGGGAGAATTCAGGCGGTTGGTATTTTTATGTATTTACAAAATGACTTTAGCAACTTAATCACTAGTAGCAAGAAATTATATATTTCCAGATTTCTGTTTCTGGCAAGTATTAAATATAAAGTATAGGTATGTTCCTGTAATCTAATAGAGTTTTTTTAAATGACTCTGAAATTATTATCATTATGTTCTCATTTAAGGAAAAGTAATTAAACAAATCTGAGATATGTTTAGTGAAAATTAAATAAAATTGAGGCGCTTGATGTAATTATTTAAAATTCTTCAAGTTTAATCATTATGTTAATCAATTCTTTCGCCCAGATAAATTTGTCTCTTTTTTTTAATTCTCAGGAGTAAAAATGGTTTAAAGAAGAGAAAACTGACTAAGTAAGTGTTTTCGTTATTGATATATAATTGATATTTAACATTGTGCATGTTTAAGGTGTATAATGTATTGACTTGACAGATTTACATATTGCAATATGATTACCACTCTAGCATTAGATAGCATCTCCATCTGTAACATAATTATCATTTTCTTTTTGTGGTGAGCACACTTAAAGTCTAGTCTCTTAGCAATTTTTAAGTATGTAATACAGTAAGTTTTTCTTACTATTTCATTTTAAAATATTTTCTTTAAAAATGTTCTTCATAATGATGTTACCATTACAAGTTAGAAAGATTGTTTATTTTCAAATAGAAGGGATGCTTAAGAAAGAAGCAAGGAGTATTTGGGATCTTGTTCCCAGGCATATATATTCTCATTTTGGCTCAAATAAACTCTTACAATGATTTTTTTAAAAAAAGAGGCAATTGTGTATTAAAATAGCTAAGATAGTATGTGTTGGTGTGATTACACATATGGGTGGAGTGACTACTAAGTAGGTGGGTGTATCACAGAAACCATATCAGGAATAAAAAATATTATCACCAAATGAAATCTGAGAAAGAATGGGTTGTTAGGAATTATCAAAGTCTTGCTGAAGGAAATGTTTCTCTAAATCTAGAAAAAAAATTAACTTTTAGCCACATCAAAATTGTACAAAAGCCTTTGTCATTTTGTACTTGGAAGCTCTGTGCTTATTGCAGAGAGGCTTGTACTAGATTTGATGTTATAATAAATGCTTTGAGAAGTGCTGCCTCAGGAAAGCTTTGTAATAAATAGAAAAAGACAATTGCTCTTGCTAGCCTGTGGTTTTCCTTAGCTACTGAACTGTTAAGTCATAAAAATTAAGATTCTGATGGGTGAAAATTAACCATCAGTTGATTTCAAAAGCCTAATTAGATGTTCACCTCCAGGCCTTCACTTAAACTGTGCATATAAAGAGTGGAACATCTATAAATAGAGCTCATCCTTGATACTTGCCCAGGATAGAATATTGGTGAATTAATCTGAGGCAATTAGGGGTTCCAGCCAGATCTATGGCATCTATGCCAATGAGGACAAAGTCACAGAGCACATAATACAAAAGAAAAGTTGATGCAAAAATATTTCTATATGAATTAGAGCAACTAAGATGGCGGCATAGGTAAACACCGGGAAATTATCGCCTCACACAACAATTGAAAATTACCGCAAAGGACTGAGCAAACATCATCCAGAACAACAGGAAGGCTGGCTGAGTGTAAATTCCACAACTAGAAGGAAAGAAAAGCACGCTGAGAGCCAGAGGCGCTGCGGAGGTGAAGTGCAGAGGTACGGCGGCGCTCGCGCGAGGAAAGGGGGTAGCACCTGAGGACGCGGCTGACTTTTTGAGTCACAAGCTCCTGACTGCTCTGAACTCCGGTTCCGGGAAGTCTCTGGGGACCCAGGACTCATACGGGGAGAGGCTGGTCTGTCCGGCAGCGAGCGAACTTGAGGGCGGCTTTCCCTCAGAGGTGCTTGCAGCCGTTACCGGAACACTGAGACGCGCGACTCCGGGCGGAGAATCGGCCATGGCCGCTTTCTCCGCCCTCTGACTCCCTGAGACCCCGCCCCACCCAGGCTGCGGCAGAGACTTTTGCATGTGAATGTACCTAACTGCAGCCGAACCAGGCAGACCTGGAACTTCCAAGAGAAGGCCCAAGGCCCCGCAGCGGCTTGCATTGCTTCACAGCTGAGCCTCTTCGTGGCTCCTGCTGTGTGGCCTCAGGCAGAGGCTGAATTAGCACCTCCTTAGATCCAGGAGCCACTGTACCCAGTGATCAGAGGGGGTCCATCCAGACTGCAACTCCTCAGATCCATAAGGGACGCACTCAGGGAGCAGACTCAGTGAGCACCAAAGCCCCACTGAAGCAAGTCTTGCCCCAGAAGGGTGTCTTCAGCACAGAAGTTCTCCCACTTTAGACACAGCTGATTCTCACAGCCAATTGGCCTGGAGGTCAATTCCTCCCAGTGATTCTACAACAACCAAGGCACCAAGAGTGCACCAAGAGTGTCCACCCCAGGTAACTGGGGAGGCTGAGCTACTGGGCCCTACAGGACACCTGGTGCACAGGGCCACTCTATCAACACAGGGAAGCTGCCAAAATGCGGAGACAAAGAAACAGGTCACAAATGGCAGAAATGGAGGAAAGCAAATGATTGGATATAGAGTTTAAGGCCACGGTTATAAGGTTTTTCAAGAATTTTATGGAAACCGCCGATAAATTTAATGAATCCCTCAATAAGTATAGGGAGACCATGGAGGACATGAAAAAGGACCAACTAGAAATTAAGCATACACTGACTGAAATAAAGAATAATTTACAGAGATCCAGCAGCAGACAAGAGGATCCCAAGAATCAAGTCAAAGATTTGAAATACAAAGAAACAAAAAATACCCAACCGAAAAAGAAAAAAGAAAAGAGATTCCAAAAATATGAAGATAGTGTAAGGAACCTCTGGGACAACTTCAAGCGTACCAACATCAGAATTATAGGGGTACCAGAAGGAGAGAGAGGGCAAGATATTGAAAACCTTTTTGAAGAAATAATGACAGAAAACTTCCCCTACCTGGTGAAAGAAATGGACTTACAAGTCCAGGAAGCGCAGAGAACCCCAAACAAAAGGAATCCAAGGAGGACCACACCAAGACACATCATAATTAAAATGCCAAGAGCAAAAGATAAAGAGAGAATCTTAAAAGCAGCAAGAGAAAGACAGTCAGTTACCTACAAGGGAGTACCCATACGACTGTCAGCTGATTTCTCAACAGAAACCATGCAGGCCAGAAGAGACTGGCAAGAAATATTCAAAGTGATGAATAGCAAGAACCTGCAACCAAGATTACTTTATCCAGCAAAGCTATCATTCAGAATAGAAGGTCAGATAAAGAGCTTCACGGATAAGAAAAAGCTAAAGGAGTTCATCACCACCAAACCAGCATTATATGAAATGCTGAAAGGTATTCTTTAAGAAGAGGAAGAAGAAAAAGGAACTCTTACCATTTGCCACAGCATGGATGGAACTTGAGAGCGGATAAACACCACAGGATCTCACTCATTTGTGGAATATAATGAACAACATAAGCTGATGAACAAGGACTGATCCAGAGACGGAGAGGCATTGATTGGACTGTCGGGACTTGGAGGGAAGGTAGGGGAGGGTGGGGGTAAGGGGGAAAGATCAACCAAAGGACTTATATGCAAGCATATAGGCCTAATCAATGGACATGGACAACGGGGGGGTGAGGGCATGAGCGGGGGTGGGGGGGTGGGGGGTAGAGGGTAACGTGGGGACAAGGACACATATGTAATATCTTAATCAATAAAAAAATATATTAAAAAAATATATATATTTCTATATAGCCTTGAGTGACATCATATTTTAGCACATGTAAATAACAGAATAATTTTTTCCTAAATCTATTTCAAATCAGTATGCATCCATTGGCATATACCAAGTGATGTAGGAGACACAAGACTGGCCTGAAGAGAGGAGAGGTACTGTCACCTGGAAGGAATGACTTGACAGAAAGAGAAAGACTTTGTTGCCCAAATTATCTACTGGGTTATTACATGAGATAGAGAGGCATAGACTAGAGCAGTTAAAAGACAGGGTCTCGGAACCAAAAAAGGAGACTCCATCAGGGTTTGCTCCTCCCAAGACCCAGGGAGAGAGGAGAAGGAGAAGCAGGATGTGGACAGAAGTTTGGGTAGAGTTTAGGGGTGGTGGAAACTGCCCACAAGCCAGAACATTGCATCAAACCAGCTTCCTCATTCCCTCTTCTCGTTTTCTCTCTAATCTGATCTCCTTCTCCAAAAGCCATGTATTGGCGTGCTTTCTACCTTCCCCCCCAACTTTCTATTTACTTTCTTTTTACTTTTCCTCTTTCACCCCAAATGCCCCAACCACCATATCCCTTTGGCTCTCCTTTTCCATCTGCACTCACGCCCCATCACTCCTTTCCTGCACCTTCTCCTTCCCCTCTTTCCCTCTAAATCTTTGTCCTGCTCATCTCTGCTCCCTCCCAGCTTCCTTTTTCTCATCCTTCTCCTCATCATCCTCTTCCTGATGTTTCTGGTTCTTTCTCTGTCTCTCTCTTTTCCCTCTTTTTCCTGCTTCTGCTTTTTCTAACGCCTATTTTCTCTGAATTGGTGTTTCTATTGATGCTCACACGTTTAGCCATTTTGGGGGAAGGATGGCAAGTTTGAAGTACAAAAGCTTTTAACCAGGAATCATTCTCTCTGGGTTCCAGTCAGAGTTGTATGGCTCAGTGGTCATGTGGTCTTGGACTACTCCCTTGATTCTCTTAGCCTTGACTCTCTCATCTGGAGCATGGGGTAATGTTGGCCATGTCTATCTTACCATCAATCAAGCAAGATAACATACGTAAATATTTTAGGTGTATATAACTCATTAGTGTTATTATTATTATTAAGAAAAACCATTAAAGTTTAAATGTATCATCTGGGAGGTATAATGGCCTTTAAAATCTAGTAAAATAAGTTAACTATCAGATTAGCTAATCAACAACTTTAAACAAATGGCTATTAAGAACTGTGTATTTGCTATGAAGATACAAGGCCACAGGTAGATGACATAAGCTGAGTAACTTGCAACAAGACTCAGAGAAAGGACAACTATGTGGACCCTGACAGAGTAGAAGGCTTGGGGTAGGTGGCAGAGGACAGCATGCTGCAGAAGCTTGGGGAGCAGGTCAGTCTAGGTAGAGCATAGGTGCAGTAAGCAGCTATAGAAAACTATTGGAGACGGCATGGATGGACCTGGAAAATATTATGCCAAGTGAAATAAGCCAATCTGAGAAAGACAAATATCACGTGATCTCACTTATTTGTAGACTCTAATGAGCATGAATTGACCAACAATATAAGACCCGGAGCAGGGAGGCATGGAACAGCCTGACATACCTCAATATGGAGTTCAGGGAGATGAGAAGAGATAAACCAAAGAACTTATATACTTATATGCATAACCCATGGACATGGGCAATAGGGTAGTGAAGCCATGGGGTGCTGGATAGGGGCTGAGAAGAGGGGGGGAAAGGGGGGAATGGGAGATGTCTATAATACTATCAACAATAAAAATATATTTTTAAAAAAAAACTGCTGGGAGCCGGTCCATCCTTGCTGTTTCAAAGGACCTGGCATATATGGCATACTGTTCTTAAAATGTTTGCTCACCTTCTTGGCACTATTTGTTTTAACCAAGGTCTCCTCTCTGAGAAAGGTTGTTTCCCCAGGTAGGGATTTTCCCCTGAAGTTAGGGAGGGAATAAAACCCCTCAACTAAGTGCCAGGCAGGTAATTAATCACTTTAACTACAAACAATCATGCTTAAGCTACATAATCTTTACTCCCTGGAATGGAGATAAGAAATGCCCTACCCTTTGTAATAGAGATTGATAGGATTGAATCAACTGGTATAAATATAGATGTAACAAGACAGCAAGACACAGAACCAAGAAGACAGAACCAAGAAGACAGAACCTACACAGAACCTAGAGACAGAAGAACTTCGCTGGAGAGAACATGGCAAAAGATCCTGGACTGAACCTGACTACAGAAATTGGCAAGAGAACCTGACTAGAACCTGGTGACTGAACCTGGCTGGAGAACCTAGCGAGGGAACATGGCTACAGAACCTGGCTGGAGAACCTGGAGAACCTAGCAAGAGAACATGGACACAGAACCTGGCTGGAGAACCTAGCGAGGGAACATGGCTACAGAACCTGGCTGGAGAACCTGGAGAACCTAGCAAGAGAACATGGACACAGAACCTGGCTGTAGATCCTAACCAGAACTTCGCTGGAGATCCAGACCAGAACTTGGCTGGAGATCCTGGCTAGAGATCCTGGCTAGGCTGCTGATCAACTGAACGCTGTCTCCGTGTCATTCCTTCTTTGCCAACTCCGTCCACACCTTTGGGGACCCCTGGACCCGCTGGGGTTGGACCCCGGCAAAAAACTACAGAATATAAGCCATAATGCTTATTTTAAAAAAAAAAAAAAAAAAGAAAGAAAGAAACAAGAGAAGAGGAGACAACTTTTGCTACAAATGCTCGGATGTCTTATTAGATGGTACCTCTGAACCTGCATATCATTTGATAGATATGCAAACCTCTAAGCATGGCTCTCAAAGTGAGACCCTGGCAGCTCTCTGGATCTATTGTTCCACCAACAATCCTGCCTCTGTCCTGAGGAGACAGCATAATCAGCAGCCCCGTTTCTTATACTTGTAAAGCTTCTTTAAACTGTCAAGGTTCTTTAACATATGGTGTGCAACCTTGTGAGGTGGTATGATAATAGTATTCTATAGCTGAGAATGCTGAATCTCAGAAGAGTTAGGTAAACTCTCCAAGATCACACAGAAAGTAAAGTAAAACCATAACTCCTACAAGTCTGCAGGGTCTAATCTGTATTTTTTTTCCCATAAACCAGAATTTTCTAGAAACCACACATATGAGTATGTGTGTGAGTTTTCAGGTATATACTATTTTACTGCTGGAGTAAATTGAAAATCTAAAGATATCTCCTATCTCAAGGATGCTTCATATAGATGGCTCTCTTTTTAATTACAATACAGTAGGGACTGGTAACTTTAATCAAAAAACAAACAACAACAAAAACCAGCGTGCTAACCTTTGAGAAGCAAAACTATTTTCTCCAAGAAAAGTGTTCATGTTTAACAAGTAAGGTGTTAAACAATACCTATCAATAGGGTTTTTTAAAACATACTTCTCTTTGTGTTTGACAAAGCCCGGTTCAACTGGACGACTTTGACGCCTACATCAGGGATATGGCCAAAGACTCTGACTATAAATTTTCTCTTCAATTCGAGGTGAGTGAATAAAGCAGACCCTGCCTTCTGGTAGATGGGGCAAGGGGACTGGTAGGTTTGGGTTGGTGTCCTGTCCCTGCTCACTGGGCAGCCCCTGGAATGAGGTTACATCATAAACAGGATGGGCTCAGGAGTGTCTGATCTGCAGGTCCAGAGATAGGATGTCAGCTCTTATACTAGGTCAGGACTGGGGGGCAGATGAAGGAAAGGGGATGCAGGCACTGAGGTGAACAAACGTGGTTAAGGGAGAAGCTTCCATTGAAAATCAAGGTGCTTGAGACTTCAGGGGAAAGCAAGCTGATGACTGAGATTGGAAACAGAATTTCACTTTCAGGGGATTTTAAGTGTGTCTCTCATGCCGCTTGGGCCACCGTATGGTGGGTGAAATGGACCTGTTTGTCTTATGGGCATTTAGGAGTCTATGGTGGGGCTCTTCTGCCTATAGGACTCTTGGCATTCTACTTAATATTTCCTTGTGAAGTTTTCTTTCCTTTTCTTGGAGAAATTGGGGAGAATTAGACATGGTTTGTGTGAAAAAAAAAAGAGTTGTCAGCCCCTCCTATTTCTGAGGCACACATATTTGTTTGAGTCCAAGACCATGTGTCAGAGCGCGTGGGAATGAGTAAGCCTGGGTCCCAGCAGTGTGAGGACTATCACGGTCCTCACGTTCTCTTCCCATGCATTTCACAGCACATAGCACAGTCTGGACGGGCACATCTTCAGCTTTCTACGGGGGGTCCATGATTCAGGGGAGTCAGAGAAAATGGAAAAACAAAGTGACTTTTCTAAATACTGTGGATTTTTTTAAAGCCTTAAAGGTGCTCTTTTCTGTGAAATAGCAGGTTGTAGAATGTAGTTCCTTCCTCCTCGTTATTCATATTAATTTCTTCTTTCCACCCATCAGCCAAGGACAGCTTTGGTCTGCAAGAAATGGGGAATCCTGGTGTGGAAATTCTAACAGGGACAATAAGGATGAGAACTTCAGATGTTATCAGATACAAAGCCCCTAACTACCACCTGTGTCATGAGAAATTCCACATAGAGCCTGGTTCAGTTAGCCATTGCGTGCAGGTGCATAAGAAATTATAGCTGTTGCACCAAATGCTGTATCTCAAAGAGCAGAAATTCCGTTTGAATTGGAGATCTATGGTGAGGATGTCATTTAAGAAAGCATATCGATGAAAGGAGGAGAGTTTTATAAGAAAACATAAGCCCAAACTTAGAAAATATAAATAGCTAGATAGTTCTAATGATGAAGATTATGATGTAGGTACACTTTCAACCTCATTGAAGCCACAACCTCTTAATTTCTACAAGATTATATGACCTTAGTGACACAGCCACATCCCTGCCTTTGCTGGGAGGATGAGGAGTACCTCCTGTCAAACTTTGGTATAACTATTACTGTGCTTCTAAAATGCATTATTATTTTAAAAATTCAATTAGTCTTTTATTTTTTGTAAAAAGAAAAGATTCTTTTAGTTGTCCATGACAGGAACACAATCCAAACTAGTTTAGACCAAAGGAAAATGGAATTCATTCCAAGGATGCTAAGTTATGTCATGTGATCAAAGGGAAGAATGAGTAGCTGAACCAGGAGGGCAGGGAAGCAGCCCTGTCAAAAGTATGATTGGAACTAGAGGCCACGCCCCTGCAGAGACCTCTTTTCATTTCTCACTTCTGCTTCTCTCTCTGTCTTGGCTTCACTTTCTTTCACTGTAAGCCAACCTCTGTCTCTATGGCAAACATGACCACCAAAAACCTCTATGTCTTATTGTATAGTTTCCATGGTTTCCAATGGGAACACTTGACTCTCTTGTTCATATTTTGCAAATTAACAGGGGATGATTCTGATTGGTTGGCCTAGGTCATGATGTCCATTCAAACCAACCACAGCCAAGGAGGGCAGAATCACCTAATAATAGAGCAGCTCTTACTGGAAGCACTAAGCTAAATCAAAGGAGACCGTTATTTTCAAAGCAAGGACACTGGGATAACTAAACAGTGAGGGATTAGATCCCAGCTGCAGATGCTTCAAAAGTGTGAGAAGCAGAATTGTAAATTTTATGTGCTAAATGCTCACTTTTTAATATGTTGAGGGCTTTTGATGTTAAACACATCTAGGCTTATCTCATAGAATTTATAAAGGATATAGGAATGTACTAAACTGAGAATTCAAAAACCTGGATCCTCCCTACCATTTTGCCACTAATTAATATTGAAAAAATCAAATTTGTCATCACCTGAGTTTCTTTATCTATAAAATGGTAGGCTTCACTGAATCAGTGATTCTCAATGGGGCCAGTACCAGGCAGTTCCCCAGGCAGGGTTTGCGGATGTGTAGGAGTGTTCTTTTTGTTGTTGGTGGTGGTGGTGTTTTTGTTTTTGTTTTTTGGTTGTCATATGGCTTTGGAGTAACCTACTAGTGGTATTTAGTGGGGAGAGAAACAGGGATGCTAAATGTTCTTTAATAAGTGGGACAGTCCCACACAGCAAAGAATTGTCCCAAGATAATAGTAGTCCCCTGAGAACACTGGACTAAATGTGAGGTATGGATACATCCAAGCTTTAATACTCACGTGTGATGGTCAGGATTCTGCAGAGAAATGGAATAGATAGATGATAGATAGATAGATAGATAGATAGATAGATAGATAGATAGATAAGTAGGTAGATAGATGATATAATAGGATTTAGAGAAAGCGAGATGGAGAGATTTATTTTAAGAAATTGGCTCACATGACTGCCAGAGCTAGCAAGTGTGAAATCTGCAGGGCAGGCTGGGGACCTGGGGAAGAGGTGATGTTGCCGCTCAAGTCCGAAGTCTGGAAGCAGAATTCCTTCCTCCTCCGGGCACTTCCATCTTTCCTCTTAAGGCCTTCGATTTACTAGATAAGATCCACCCACGTTTTGGAGGCTAATCTGCTTTCTCAAAGTCTACTCCTGATTGACATGTTAATCACATCTAAAAAAATACTTACACAGGACATCTGGACTTGATGTCTGACCAAGAAACTTGGTGCTATAACCTTGCCAAGCTGACACATCAAATTAACCATCACACCATGATTGGAAGGAGTGTTTAGTATTTATACTTATTATGAAGGTTTTTTCCCCATATATCTTTGTTCTTAGAGTATTATTGGTCATATATGTAATTCATTGGGTGTCAAGTCCTGATATATATATAATTTATTTGGTGTCTTGGCATGGTGAGAAAATACAAATTACTCTCCAGAAGTCTGATTTATTTAAATCACAAACTCAGATTGTTTGTTTTGGGCTAACATTTGCTCAAGCAGTGACCCACTAGTCTGGCTCACTTCCTTTTTCATTTGAGAGCCTCCCAGATATTGCCAGTTCCCAACTCTACCCACCCTACATCCTCATCGTCTCTTCCTCTACTTTCATAGACACATTGTGCTCCCATACCTGACTTCAGGTTGCATGTTGGACCTTCCACATGGCAGCTATCAAATTTTCCTGAAGTTGATAGTTAATTGAGGTTTAAGGGACAAAAATGTTTCCTCTGTAATGGAAACCCGAGCGGGTGTTAAGATGGCTCAGTCAGCTGGTCTAGCTAAATCCATTGGCTGGACAGGTATTTGTTCTGTTTATATTAATGCTGAATAGTTGTATAATTCATTTTGATTCTGACATTGAAAGAGCACACCCATATAGAGAAATTTCATCACTTGTAAGCATTATGCAAATTGAAACTAATGTCTAGATTTATATATACAACCAATACATCCATAAGTCATACATGAAACTATACAAGTTGCTAATTTGCATTCACTGAATAAATTACTCTTCACTATGCATCTGATTTTTGCATCTACTAGAAAGACTGATTATCCTTCTAACAAAAAATATACATCTTTTCTTAGGGAGGTTTGGGAACCAGGGATTAGATTTAACTCCTCATTTCTTATGCCTCAGTTGGAGAAGGTTTTGAAGAGCCAGACTTTAGAGCTTGAAATTTGAGAGCCCACGAAATATACCTCCTACTGCTCATTCTGTCATTATTTTTCTGTGTTTTGTGTTTGATTGGGATGCTAGTGGAATAGTGTGTCTACAAAGATAAAAGCAAAACTACTTTACTTCTCATATAGTCCACAAGGGATGGCCTCTGATTTCTGGGAGTAGCTTTCATTTGCACTGTTCTTACCCGTGTTTCAGTCCAGTTCACTAGAGACCTACCTGCAGTTCTTGTTGAAAAATGTTGCCTTGAACCCTCTCCAACACCAGGGATCATACATTGCTCCAGACCTGAGTTAGTTTTCTTTCCTCTCATTTCTAATTTCCTCTGTTCCCAAGTGCCTGTAACAGTAATGTGTCCAGTGATTGGAGTATTGTCCCTAAATCCCATACCTGAGCCCAAAGCCCTGGTGGCGATTGCTAGGCACGCCTGAGGTTGACTTTCTTTTTAGCCATCTTCCATCACCTGCCCAAGACTCCCATCACTGCTGCACCCCATTCTTCCTTATTTGGAATAGGGTCGTTTGCGGATATAATTAGTTAAGATGAGGTCTTACTACAGTAGGGTGGAAGTCCTTATGAAAAGACAGCTATGCGACAATTCAGAAACAAGGAGACTGCCGTGTGATGACAACGCAGAGATTGGAGAGATACAGCTAGAACCGTGCACATACACTGCTTTGCTTTTCAAGACTAGCGGGCTTCTAACACAGCCACAGAGGATGGACTTCCATTGGGCCTTGGTGGCTGTATTGGTTTCCTAGGGTTGCCATAACAAATTACCATAATCTTGGTGGCTGTAAGCAATAGAAATTTATTCTCTCACAATTCTAGAGGCCAGAAGTTCAAAATCAAAGTGTTAGCAGGGCCATGCTCCTCTGAAGGCTGCAAAGGAGAATCATCTATTTCTGGTGGCTCCAGGCATTCCTTGGCTTGCAGCTGCCTAACTCACATCTGTGCCTCCGCCTTTATATGGCCTCCTCTCCTCCCTTTCATAAGAACACTTGTCATTAGATTTAGGGCCCACCTGGTTAATGCAAAAAGGACTTGTCTCATGATCCTTAACGTAATTACATCTGCAAACACCCTCCTTCCAAATAAGGCCACATTCACAGGTCCTGGGGGTTACGATGTGGACATATCTTTTGGGGGGACCACCATTCATATGGTGACTCTGTGGCCAAAAAAAAACAAACAAACTCACGCTGATAAATTATATTAGAGTCAAAACTAGCAAGAGAAAATTCAAAAATGATTTATGCTGGTTTCAGGCCATCCCCTCATACTTTGACTTTCTGGAGCTTTAAGCCTCTGGAGATTCCATATGGTTAGAAAGAGAATAACTGCAAAGCTACTGAGCTGGAAACTGTGTGTTCCATTTTCCACTTAGCGACAGGCTGAATTTCAAAAGATTGCGAGCATGTTGTGTGTACATGCGGTTCCTGCTTTGCTGCAATTCAGCTCTGGCAATTTACATTCACAGTGTTCAGCCAATTAAACCTCTCTTATCAACTTAGGGCATTTACTGCAGGAAGGCAACTCACAATTAAAGTTCTATCAGCTACTCAGCGTCCATATGTGCCCCAGCTCTCTGCCGCAATCTGTTTCCACCATTTCTTTCGTATCTGATGCCCTTTCCTGTGGCTTATCAGTCTGTCCTCAAAGCAGGGGACTTGGGGGAAGAGTTGCTGGTCTGTTAGTACAAATGGCAAAGAATGGAGAATTGTGGGGCCAGGCAAACAGACACATTTCACAACCATTATCCATAGTTCTGCATTAATATGTTGGGTTTAATCATTCCATTTGGTGGTCACTGTACACCAGTGAGGTGTGGAGAAATTATTAGCCTTATCTTACAAATAATTACACTGACTTGAACGAGAATTGAACTACTTTTCCAAGGCCCTACAGTTTAAGTGGTACCCCAAAATGAGCCAGATGTTTTGACAAGCTATCTATAAAGGCATTATTTTAAAAGAAGATGTTTTTATTGATTTTTAGAGAGAAAGGAAGGGAGATAGTGAGAGAGATAGAAATGTTGATGAAATAGAAACATCAATCAGCTACCTCCTGCACTATCCCTGCAACCAAGGCATGTGCCCTGACCGAGAATGGAACCGGTGACCTCCTGGTGCATGGGTCAACCGCTGAGACACACCGGCCAGGCTATAAAGGCACTCTTTAAAGGAGGTAGATTTCCAAAATAAACAACGGAAGCATCATTTAAATGAGCATATAGCTGCCAAAAGGACCTAACCTAACACTGATTTAGTTGAAGTTGCTAAAACCAGGTTTCATTTTTTACAAGAATGATTTGAAAGCCCTTGAAAATGGAAAAACTAGTAATAACAGTGGCATTTGAAGGCATTTGGCAAGCAAGGGTTTTGATTAAGATAGAAAAACTTCTAATTTTGTGAATTGAGGATCCAAGTTAGTATACCAATAGTTTGTCTTTACAATGCTTCAATTTAGGTCAAAAAGCTTGAGATTTAGAAAAGTTATAGTACGATGGGAGCAGAGGAACCGAGAAATCTGGACAATTTTGGTTGGTTCATCCTTGTGGGCCACAGGCTTGCCTCCCAACGCCATTAAGCACACACACTGAACTTCTTATGTGGAAGCCCCGGGAGCTTCAAGAACTGGATTCAGAAGCATATGCTTTGCAAAGAGCACTGGAATCAAGACAAAAAAATCATGAAGGAGAGATCATTGTTCAGTCTCTCAAAATGTTATCAAATGTGTCCAACTCCCTTTGAAAGTCTTTCAAAGACTCTCAAAACTCTTTTCTCTGAGAAGTATTCCTCCAGGTTATGATTGAAGGAATAATTGGGAATAATTATGACAAGTAAAACTTGTTTGCAATATTAGCATCCTATATGAGTAAATAAAATGTACAAGTGGTTTCTCTGTTGCTCAGTTAATAGTCTTATAGAAAAGTGCATTACTATATAGATAATCCCACTTATAGATGGCTACACATCCTGTTTACTAATATTTCCCACAAATTTGTTGAGTGGTATAAGTAGGTATGCTGCATTGGGCTTGCCTATACAATTCCAGGGAGCATCGTTCACACAGACCACAGCATGAACGATGCCCCTAGGGAAATCTAAGTGGTTTGACAACAACCCTTGTTTCCTACCAAACGTAGGACAAAACAGCTTAGAAATCATCTGTCCAGTAGCATAACTTTTTGAGGTGTGATGGTTGTCAGTTTATAGAAAAATCGCTCTATCAATTCACCTTCTGATATAGAATTTATGGGAATACTGATACACACAGGCAGATATTTGGATGTTCTTATTTTCACTGCAGGTTCCACTTACCCACTACTAATTCATCCTTATTTTTGAGGTTTCTTTACCATCTATATATATAAAAGGCTAAGTGACTAGCCAATCGGTCGGCCGGCTGACTGGCCCATAGGTATGATGTGCAATGACCACCAGGGGGCAGACCCTCAACACAGGAGCTACCAAGTGACAGCAACTTTGCAGAGTACCCTCTCACACTCCAGGACCCCTCAGGGGATGTTGGACTGCCGGTTTTAGGTTTCAGCCCAATCACCGCAGGCCAGCCTGAGGGACCCCACCTGCCTGAGGGACCCCGCTCACTCCACAGACACCCTATGAACCCTGGAGCCTCCCCAGGTGTGGCCAGCTGGAGTGGGACCATGGGAGGTTGGCTCCAGGACCTGTTAAGCCCATCTTGCCCAGTCCCGCCCTGCCAGCCACCTTCTAATTAATTTCCTTTCAATGTGCACAAATCCATGCACTGGGCCTCTAGTCTATATATATATAAAAGCCTAAGTGACTGAATGACCAAACAACCAGTCGACCGCTCGCTATGACGTGCACTGACCACCAGGGGGCAGACACTCAATGCAGGAGCCATCCCCTGATGGTCAGTGTGCTCCCACAGCCAACCTCCCACGTTCCCTTCCTCCGGCTGGCCAGCCCCAATCAGCCCCTATTGCCAGCCAGGCCAAGGGACACCTCACCCCCACCCCCTGTGCACAAATTTGTGCACCAGGCTTCTAGTATATTTATAAGTATCTGTCAATCCAACATCTTGTTACATGGAAAATACTCCTTCGTTGTTCCTTATTCTTTCTTTTACCACTTTCTCTAAGGCTCATTGCCTAAAAGAGAAATACTGACATTTCCTCAGAGAATAGGAAATATTTGTGCAAATTGCATACATTTTAGTTACTATATACCTCCTAAAATCTGAAATGGATTTCTTTTCAAACTTGTTTTCAGATTTTCCACACCCAGAGAATTATGCATATAATCCTTACCTTCTCCAAATGATCACCAGGTTATCCAAGATATGTATGTATTGTATTAGTCAGCTGTTTCTGCAATAATGCTATTATATACAAAACAACATGAAAATCTCAGTGACCTACAGCAACAATTAATTTTCTCACTGCAGGTCTGTGGAATAGCAGGGACAGTTCTGCTTCCAGCCATGGGTCAGTGTCAGGACTGTTTCACAGGTCTCCTCACTTAGGGACTTGCAGCTTCCCTACTCATGTTCTTTTCACAGCAGATGGCAGAAATACAAGAGGGTAAACCAAATCAAACAAGCACATTTAAAGCTTCTTATTGAACATGATTCTACCCAAGTTCATTGGCCAAAGCAGGTAGACAAGAGTGGGGTGGAGAAGTATGTTCTATCCCAAAAGGGAGCTCTGAAGCTTCATATGGCAAAGGGGGTGTGATGATTCTGTTATAGGCTGGAGTGAAGAATGGTCTAAAGTGAACATCCAATCCACACCATGTATGTATGGAAATCTCAAATCTATTCTCTGTCACTTACAGGAGTTGAAATTGATTGGACTGGATATTCCACACTTTGCTGCAGACCTTCCACTGAACCGATGTAAAAATCGTTATACAAACATCCTACCATGTAAGATTGTCAATAGTGCCGGTCTGACTCATATCTTTCAAAGGTCGAAGGATGATTAAATGCAAATTAATCAGTTTCACCAATCTCTGGCCAGACCCAGTTGTGGTCTGGATCTTCAAGGCCATCTCTGATCAAATCCGTGCTCTGATGTCATTTGATCCTATCGTGTGTAGGAAGATGTGATCATTAAGCTTTTAAATGAACTGCATCTGAACAGGAAAGACTGACCATTTTGCCCTTTAGTGATCAAATGTCTTAGCCAAATTAGGAATAAAATAACCTGTGCTCTTATAAAATGAATTCTGTCAATTCATTGGTAATGGAAGGCAGCAAATGGAAAGGGAGCTCAGTGTGTTAAAATTCCTCCTCTTTCTAACTTCTGGCAAGTTCTGTTGTTGCTTAGCATTTTTTAATAAAAGCAACATTCAAAGAAAAAGTAATATGAAGAACTAACAGGACAATTAAAATATATTCCAATATAGATTTAACTTTCCTCTCTGCTATACTCCAGAGGGAGCCAAGACAGGATAGAAAAGTAGAAAAAAGAGGGTGGAAAAGCTCTAGAAAAATAATTTTTTCCTTAATAAGGTTTCTTGATAATCTTATGCAGCATTATCATTATAACACCTTACATCTGTACACATTTCAGAATTTACTTTTCTCATTTGAATTCCATTCACAAAAAAGCCCATGCAACCCCCTTTTCTCTTCTAGGTGTCCCAAAGGTAATGCATTCTTGGATGTCACTATGTGAAATGGCAATCACATAGTTAGGATACATGCTGTATGTAGCCTTCCATACAATCTACCAAATTTTTTAGTTTCTGTAAATATTCTGCACAATCTCCCCCAAGAGATGGATCTAATTCTTCGAAGGACAGGAGAGCTGGTGGGAGAAAATAGTGATGGAGAGAAATTTATATATTTGTTTAAACGAGAAACTGAAATTGAGATATGGCTAACATATCAAGCTAAGACCAGCTTTATCTCCCTACTCTGTCACTGATAATTTTGACTTGGTATTGGGAAGACAGGATCTAGACAATTCTTCCTTCCACTCTAATTTTTAATATTTCCTTTCTTCTGATTCTGTACAGATGACTTTAGCCGAGTGCGATTAATCTCCATGAATGAAGAGGAAGGAGCAGACTACATCAATGCCAACTACATTCCTGTAAGTAAAAGAAATAAAAAGTAAACCAGGCATCCAAATTCCAGCGCAGGCTGAGGAAAACCCATCAGGGATACAGGGATGCGTCGAACGGTTTAAAAGAAAGCTATTCTACAGAGAACAGTTTCCATTATTCCATCTCAGAATAGACCATAGGAAACAAAGAATCCCAGAGATTAATTATGTTCATATTTCCTTATAAAGGATGAGTGAAAACAGTAGGTCATTACATTAAAGATCATCTTTCTCATGTTTAAATATTTTTGGCAGCCAAACACAAAGGGCTCCCCCTGAGCACCTGTGCTTTAAAATATCTATAAAGATTGTAGTTATCATTTTAGAAAGTGAGGGTGTGATTTTATAGGCTTCCCAAGGATCATGCTTAAAATCACACTGACCTATACAGTCAGTCACTCTGACGGCCTCTTCCATGGGAACAGGGGAATACGGTACAGAGGTCTGAGATCCGTTGCCAGGTTTATCACCAGTACATTTTCAGTTGTTTCCCAATTTATGCAGAACGGCCTTGGTTCCTTAGGTGACAACTCTGTCACTTACCTTTCAGGGATACAACTCATCCCAGGAGTATATCGCCACACAGGGGCCACTGCCTGAAACCAGAAATGACTTCTGGAAGATGGTCCTCCAGCAGAAGTCTCAGATTATTGTCATGCTCACTCAGTGCAATGAGAAAAGGAGGGTAAGTGCCTACGGGACGGTCCCACTCAGCAGGAAGCCCCGCACCAGCCACGCCGTGAATGGAGTGCTTACCCGCACGGAGCCTGCTCTTGCTTCCTATCACCTCACAGTGTCACGCACACTTCTTCAGACACAAGTGCTTTCGTTTTCCCTAAAAGAGCACAGACTTCATGCCTCCCCCGGCTTGTTTGTTTGACCATGTTGTGTGGTTTCCACCTCAGGTGAAATGTGACCATTACTGGCCGTTCACGGAAGAGCCCATCACTTACGGAGACATCACCGTGGAGATGATCTCGGAGGAAGAGCAGGATGACTGGGCCTGCAGACACTTTCGGATCATCTATGTAAGTCACGAAGCACAAGTTCAGATGCTGTCCCCAGGCTGAGGGAACCTCCCCCTCCCCCCGCCCCCAGGTGTCAGGAGACCAACCCACCATCAAACAAGATCATGAGCACTTCAGGCTTTGCAACACTGCTTCCTTCAAGAGGAAAAGCCCACATTCAATATCCTTGTTCCCCATGTCCTGGAGCCTGGTGGGATGAAATGCTGGCCTGCAGGGCCTGAGGGGATGGGGAGAGACTGCCCTGCCCATGGCAGGTTATCCAGGGCAATAGAGGACATGTGGGCCTTGCTCCCAGGCCTGACTGAGGAGGGGCATGCTCTCATGACTTATACTAACCTTATGAGAGTATAATTAGCATACGCAAGGCACGTTTACATTTTAAATTAAACACTTAAACCATGATTTAGTAGTTTAGTTTTTGCTTTGTTTTGTTTTCCCCTTATTTTGTTCTGGTTTGGTTTTTATTATTTCAAAGGTACTTCAGGGCATTTTTATTTTATTGATTTCAGAGAGGAAGGGAGAGGGAGAGCGAGATAGAAATATCAATGAGGAGAGAGAATCATTGATTGGCTGCCTCCTGCACACCCCCAACTTGGGATCGAGCCCGCAACCCAGGCATGTGCCCTTGAGCAGAATTCAACCTGGAGCCCTTCAGTCTGCAGGCCAACACTCTATCCGCTGAGCCAAACCGGCTAGGGCACTTCAGGACATTATTAATCATGGTTCCACATCTCTTTTGAAATGCCATTGATTTCTGATTGCTAGGATGTCAGCACAGTCTGTTCCTCCTGCCACCTCTCTAAGGACAGGCTTGGAGCGTGTGCAGTAGGTTCATGTGCAGGCGAGGTGCAGACATCATCCGCAGAATACATCCCTGCTGTATTCAAACTTGGCATGAACTGAGTAAGAATTGGAGAAAAAAGCAACAGCACTAACCCCTTCACTCCCTTGATGTGTGCCTTGCTGTTCAGCTGACAGGGGTCACCCTGATACCAAGTCCCCTCCCTGCCTGGCTCCTAGTGACTGATTTAAGGGCTTCCTATTTTTGAAGGATCTTGACTATTTTACTAGGGTAGCTGCATACATTTTCAGATCAACTGTAATATGTAAGACTGTTCAAATCTTTGTGCTAAGCCTGCCATCCGCATTTGAAAAGAATGAGCATTTTCATGAACTTTTCTGGGCAACTAAAAGTATCTAGTGATTGAGTATCTTTAAACCCTCATGGTGTTGAATAATTATGCACATTTTGTTATGCTTGGGTTACGTTCTTTCCATACTTATTGTAGACAGCAGCGATGGCAGCCAGCATTTTGCAGGCTTCCGGCTCCGTGTGTCTAGGACAGAGCCTGCAGTGAGGGAGGCTCTGCATACCGCTGAGGGTGTATGGCCTTAGGTGCCAAGGGGACAGAGGGTCTAGTAAGTGCTGACTTCGTTATATTTACACACATCTTATTACGCATTTGTTTATCTACTTCATTTATGCATTTATTTCTATTTATACAAATTTTACTCCGCCCAAGACCACTGACTCTTTAGAATTCATTTCTCTTTAATACTTAAACTTTAGCTCCAAACTCATAGTCAGGCCAAACTCGTCCAAATGATGATAGAGTATTTCATCCACTCAGTGGGTGCTGGGCTCTGACTAAATTTGAGGGAAAGGGGATGAATTAGTTCCTTGTGAGGCCTGGGTTTGGAATATTGATAACAAGAGCAAAATAAATCTTTATGCTGATAAGTTAGTGGGGACTAAAAAGAGTGACATTTGAAGGCTCCACATCCTAATTGACATTAGCTCAGTTCAGAGGGAACAATACAGGGGTGGGCAAAAGTAGGTTTACAGTTGTTCATATGGAAAAAGGCATGCAGGTTATGATTATTGCAGTAGCTCTATTAACTCAAAAGAATGTCACAATGGCACAGTAAACATACTTTTGTCCACACCTGTAGAGTTGACCTATCAGTTAATCTGAACAGGACAAATATACAATACATTCCCGCATACAAGGATTCCCAGAACCAACCGTCTGACTGCCCTGGGCTGCTGCAGTGATGGCAGGAATGATGTAGAAGTGGTGACGATAATGGTAGCTCACAGGTACCGTCCTTCACAAACATGAGCACACTGCATCCCCACAACAGCCCTGTTACAGGTCAGGTTATCCTGCAACATCTGAAAAGACCTTTTTTAGATATGAGAACAGTGGTGTCAGTGAGTTTGCCTTGGGTCAAGCCTGCTAGTATCAAAGACCAAGACCGGGATTGTTAAATAGGTGATTTAGGGAACAAGGAACGCAGGATAGGACAGAACAAGGAAGAAGTCTCACACAGCTAGGAGTTCAGCTGAAGTCTAGCATCAGCCAGGTCCCAGGGAGGGTGTTGGGGAATGAATGGCACCATAGACTTAGTTGTCCCACCTGCCATAATGGGGCTGGCTTTTTGTACCCTGTTATCAGCCACTGTTTAGCTGCAGAATGCCTGGAGCAGTAGAACACAAGGTCTTGGGCATTTTCCAGAAAGGCAGCTCCCCCGGATGGGGGACAACTCTGAGAAGGGTGCAGCTCTATGCTGCTGGCAGCGGCTGGGAAGGGGGACCCAAGGGGTACCAAGAGCACCTTCCACAGTGTTTAACTCATTGGCCAAAGCCGATGCAATTGCTAAATTGCTAGGATGCAAACTCTAATCTGCTTAAACTCTTATCTCTACACAGGCCTGGATTAGCCCATTTATCCTACTATTTGAAGCTTTGTACATGAGTATGTTTTTTCCAGATCCTGCTTTGTGCCAGACACAATGCTCAGATCTGGAAAGGGAAGTATTCAGACCAGGAGGGGAATGCGGCTTTACCTTCCTGTGCCATTAACGTGTGAGCTGCAGTGGCCGCCTGGGCCCTCCTGCCAGGGGGCTGCGAGATTAATGCTTGCTTTGCCTTTTCTCCTAAAGGCTGACGAGATGCAGGACGTGAAGCATTTTAACTACACTGCGTGGCCTGATCACGGTGTGCCCACAGCCAACGCAGCAGAAAGCATCCTGCAGTTTGTGCACGTGGTCCGACAGCAAGCTACCAAGAGCAGAGGCCCCATGATCGTGCACTGCAGGTAACGTCATCAAATGCAGTTTCTGTTAAGCACCATGAACTTGGTTTTGTTTAAGGGAAATAAGCCAGTCAGAGAAAGACAAGCATCACATGATCTTGCTCATCTGTGGAATCTAATGAACAAAATAAACTAATGAACAAAATAGGTCCAGAAATATAAAAGCATGAAACAGACTGATGAATCTCAGAGGGAAAGGGCTGGGGGGGGGGGGGGGGGCAAAAGGGAGGAGAAGATTAACCAAATAATTTATATGCGTTTATGCATTACCTACGGACACAGACAATAGGGTGGTGAAGGCTGGGGGTGGGGTCGGGACACTAGAAGGGGTCATGAGAGAAAAAAAGGACATCTGTAATACTTTCAACAATAAAAATTTGTAAAAAGAAAAATAAAGAAATAATAGAATGCTTAACAAAACTAAAACTAAAAAAAGAAAAAAAAAGTCCACCCGTCCATTAACTCCTGATCAGATTGAATTAATAAAATGAATTATGATTTTTTTAAAAAATTTTATGATTAACTTAGGTCTTCCTAGACATGTTATTTACTTGTAATATAGCCATTTATATCCTCTAAGATAGATATTATTATTCTCCTTTTAGAATGAAAAAAGCTGAGGAGTAGAGAGGTTAAGGGGTTCACACAAGTTCATGCAACTCAAACCTGGAGGAGTTAGGGTTCAGGCATTCTCCATGGCCATGACTTTAAGCACTGCATGGTCTTACCTTATCCTGTCAAGGATTCTGATGGTTTATAACATGGCCAAATGCAAGGTCAACTTAAAAATAGCTAACCACAGCCCAGAATAATATAAACAGACATAAAAGCCAGGCGAGGGAAAGGAGAAATGAGAACGTTCAGCTCATTGAAATAAACAGAGTTGCTATGATTGCTTTTCAAGATTTCCTTTAAATTTCCAGATAGTTCAAATGAAAGGGGTCCTTATGACCTACTGTATTAGCAAAAATCGAGGACCCTGCTAATTCCTTATCAGAAGAATTATCTTTGATTTAAGCTTTATTCCTACCAAGTGAGCAAAGCTTCACCAAAATCCATTGGTGTGACATATTTTAGTAAAATTTTTATGCAATCTCTGAAGAGCAGGGGCTATAAATATGCTCATATTGTATATCAGAGATAGAAGTAAGATAAATATGTTAGAGGAAGCACTGGCAGCCATGTCAGCCTAAGCAAATCTACACTAATAAAAGAGAAATATGCAAATTAACCATTTCTCCATCACTCCACTACACCCGCAAGCCACGCCCACCAGCCAATCAGAGTGACTATGCAAATTAACCCAACTAAGATGATGGCAGCCACGGAGCTGGAGTGAGCAGGAGGCTTGGGTTGCCCCCAGGGGTGGAGGAAGCCAAGCTTCCCACCTGCCCTGGCTGGCCCTGGACTCTGCTCAAGGCTAAAAAGTTTCAATTATAGAAGTTAAATAAATCCCAGATACCTGCTTCCAGCCACCCTGGCATCCACTCAAGGAGGGGCTGGGAGCCTGGGTTGCCAGGGGCAACCCACATTTCCAGCCAGACCTGGGTTCTGCTCAAGGCTACAAAGTTTCAATTATAGAAGATAAATAAATCCCAGATACCTGCAAAAAAAAGAGAGGCTGGGAGCTTGGGTTGCCAGGGGGTGTAGCCAGCCTGAAAACAGCCCTCAGCCCCTCACCCAGGCTGGCCACACCCCCATGGGGTGAGGGTCCTTGCTGGGGGACTTGGCCAGCCTGCAAACAGCCATCAGCCCCTCACCCAGACTGGCCAGGCACCCCAGTGGGACCCCCCACCCTAATCCAGGACACCCTTCAGGGCAAACCAGCCAACCCCCACCCCTGCACCAGGCCTCTATGCTATATAATAAAAGGGTAATATGAAAATTGACCCTAATAGCAGAACAACTGGGAATGACTGGTCACTATGACACACACTAACCACCAGGGGGCAGATGCTCAATGCAGGAGCTGCCCCCTGGTGGTCAGTGCACTCCCACAGGGGGAGCTCTGCTCAGCCACAAGCCAGGCTGATTGCTGCCAGCATAGCAGTGGTGGTGGGAGCCTCTCCCGCCTTCTCAGCATCGCTAAGGATGTCTGACTGCAGCTTAGGCCTGCTCCCTGCTGGAAAGTGGACATCCCCTGAGGGTTTCTGGCTGCCAGAGGGATGTCTGACTGCCAGCTTAGGGCTGATCCCCTGGGGAGCGGGCCTAAGCCAGCAGGTGGACATCCCCTGAGGTGTCCCAGACTGCGAGAGGGCACAGGCCAGGCTGAGGGACACCCCCCCCACCCCCCAGTGCACAAATTTTTGTGCACCAGGCCTCTAGTAGATCTATAATCCTGGACCTACCTGGCACCAGGGCCTCTGTGAACTAGAATGAGTAGGTAGAGAGAGAGAGAGGGAGAGAGAGAGAAAGAGAGAGAGAGAGAGAGAGAGAGAAGCATGTGATGTGTCTCCCTGGACAGAAAAATGCTTCGAAGGCTATCAAGTTTCTGACCAGGGAGAGGACCCTTGCTATCGGTCCACCATAGGCATTCACAGGTTAAAAACTTTGCTTCACCAAATGAAAATGATCTCGTCTCACAATGGTTCCTTCCAAGAGCCGAACATGAAGCTGCTCAACCATGTGGTCAAACTCACAGTTTCTTTCACAGCAGGCAGCTGGGACAACTCTGGATGTGACTTTACAGGTGTTCACCCAGTGGCAGAATGTAAGATAAGTCCTGGGTGAGCAGGGTTGTCCAGTACAAAAAGCAAACTAGGGCTCTGAGCTACAGGCTTTTACTGTTGGATTTCTCTCCTAGCCAGTTCTGCATAGAAATCAATTTTGGCTTCCTCTTTTCTCATATACGATAATTCAGACTTTGAAAACACTTGGCCCTACAGTCTGCATGACTGGAAGAAAAGAAGGGCTGACTTAACATGTACAACTGTGCTGGGCAATCGGTCAGCACAAATCACTCCACTTCCCTCTAGGATTTGGGGGCTGTAATGAATAGGGTCCAAATATTAAATTTGATTTGGAGGCAACTACCTAAAAGATTACTGGGGAATGCAAGCAGGCTAGAACTCACTGGAAGGGAGATGTGCTGTAAGGAAAGTCTGGAATGGTGAACTCAACCCAGGGTTTAAGGCACACAAATTGGTCTGGCCCCAGAGCTGGAGGTGAGTAGTGGGCATCTCAGCTAGACTTCTGAGCTGGGTGTGAGGCTTAATTCTGCGGCTGCTCAGAAGACTGAAATTGTTTATGTGTCAAGTTCCCTGAGGGAAGGAACCAGCTCTCTCACCAGGCCCATGGGCACTTCTTACCTTTCTCAGGAAGCAGAGAGCTCCAGGTGGAGGAGAGAGGTGTTGCCCAGACTAGTGCAGACCCCTACCTCTTTTTTTCCTTAATCCTCACTTGAGGACATTCTTAAAGAGAGAGGAAAGGAGAGAGAGAGAGAGACAGAGAGAGAGAGAGAAGAAACATTGAGTGGTTGCTTTCATACATGCCCCAACCAGGGATCGAACCCGAAACCCAGGTATATGCCCTGATGAAGAACTGAACCGGCAACCTTTCGGTGCACAGGATGATGCTCAACCAGCTGAGCCACTCTGGCCGGACCAGACCCATACCTCTTTCAGAGCAGCAGCAGTGATAGTCAAATGTGATATTAGAAGACACACCAACCACAGTTGCACGGTTAAAATGAAGTGGAAAACATTCTCAGGAGTTTAGTCTTCTTTTTTTTTGCTACCTGTTTTGTTTTTTGATCGCCAGTTTGTCCCCCACCCCCACCCCCCGTGTGGAAGCACTGTGTGAGTAACCTGCTGTCTGCACACTCTTGCAGCGCTGGCGTCGGCCGGACGGGAACGTTCATCGCCCTGGACAGGCTCTTGCAGCACATTCGGGAGCACGAGTTTGTGGACATCTTAGGGCTGGTGTCAGAAATGAGGTCATACCGGATGTCCATGGTACAGACAGAGGTAGGGATGTAATCAATAGGAATCTATAAATTTGACCTTGACTGAAAAAAACTTCCTACTATTTCACCTCCTGTTTCAGTCTTGCATCTGCTATTTCCAGTGTCTTATTGTGCACATTCGAACTGCTTCACGGTCCAGGAGAAACAGATATTCGTTTCTAAAATCCGTTCAGTGTGCAGTGCCTGCGCTTCTATTGGTGCCATGTGCCCTTTACAACTCAGAGCACGCAGATCTATCCGTAATAGACGAAGGCCTCTTTGAACAGAGGGAGAGTTCGGGGCAGCCAATCTGGGGACATGCCATCGAGTGGACGCTGTGGGACTGATGTGATTTCACCTGTGTTTGAAAGGCTAGATTTCATTCAAAAGTTTGTCACTAGTTTGTCCACCATGTGAGTCTCTGTCCCAGTTCACTTTCGATAATGATCAGGGGTTGGACTCACGCTTTCTGTCCCCCTTATGATTTTAAGGATCTCCAAACTACCAACACGTCCATTTCCCTTGACCTAAATGAATGGCTTTAGCATTGTAACAACATGGCAGCATGCCTAGAAACATCCATCCCTCTTCCCCCTCCCCCACCACCACCCCCAGGCCCCCTCCTCCCAGAAGTCTGGGAATGCCCAAGGGCTGGAGTGGCAGCCTGGGGCCAGCAGACAGCCTCGCACCACCTCACAGCCACAGTGGGTGTGCACCTGCGTGGGCCTCAAAAAGCAAGCACCATCGCTTGTTCACAGTCCTAGTCACCCAGACATACCCGAAGCTTCTCAGCTTCAGGTGTAGAGTCATCTCTTTTTTTTTGAAGGCGTTTGTGTGGGTGGAACAGAGTAGAACACATCCTGGCCAGACTTCTTAAGTTCCAAGGAATTGAATGCAGCCTTGGTCTTCCTCGTGCTTTTCATGTGAATCACCACTAGATGTCAGTATAACCCAAAAGCCTGCAGTAATGGCTTAGGTCTCAAGGCTTGGGTGGGTTTCTCCTTCACCATCCCTTTGACTTCTCTCCTGCATCCTCACTCCCATCGGAGCAAGGCTTGGCACAATCGTTCCAGTGTGTTTCTTTCTGAGCCAAAGCAGGATCATGCCACTGCGGAAAAGCAACCCATTCACATTCAGCTCTCACATGTGATGAGCAAGTCCTCATGTATGTGTCCTCACTTCCTTACCCACTCCTGCCCCAACCCTGCTGCCTTGGATTCCACTGCTGTGGGGACATGAATGTGGCCTTGTTTAAAGGCCCTGATTTCCCAGAGAAGCCTGCTACCTAATGAGTAAACAGTGCTTCATGAATCGGTCCATAGTTTTGGCTTTCACCTCCATAAATTTATATATCCTAATATGTGATTATAACTCCCCATGTGTGTATTAATCCCCAGCTTCAAGGGCAGCTCCTTATTTTAAGTATTTTGGATTTGATCAATTGTCTGCCACAGTGACCTAATTTATAGCTTTTAGAACTTTATAGACTTTGATTATAGCCTGTTTGCTTTTGACTTTCCCAGTACAGGACCTTAATCCCTTTTTAAATACTACCTTCCCCCGGCAGACCCTCCATCTGATTCCATGCCAGGATCTTTCTCCAGGTGTGGTAATCACGCAACACTAGGTCGGCCATGTGCCTCTCTGCAAGGCTGAGAAAATGTTGCTTCCCCCGTAACTTTCTTGCCCCAAACTTTGGATGTTTGGCTTCTTTGTTTACAGCAGCATTTTAAGTTGCCATCTCTAGGGAAACAGTCTTTTTTAAGGACGATATCCCTTCCCTGAACTCTGGTGGGAAAATGCAAAGTCAGCAAAAGAGGCGAGGTCACCATGGGTTACTGATTTTCCCCAACTGTTCCAGCTTCATTCTGGAGTTCCCTCGGGATTTTGCAGCAGGTCTTCTCTAGTTCAGTTGTTTATTTATGTTGAAACATCTTGTCCACTTCCCTTTGTGTTTCCTCGTGGTGGCCCTCTTTGCAATGCGACCTGTATTTTGAATGTTAGGATTTTCCTAACATCCTCCTTGAGCCCATTCACAGCCAAGTCCTGCTGCCTTCTACTTTGCTGCTGTGAGTAAGTAAAGAGCAGAGTGGAACACGATTTTCTTAGCTTTCTCATCCTAGGGCACCCTGTGACACTAATGATTTTCAAGAGGCCGGAATGATCCCCAGCTGATTTCTGGCTCTGTGTATATCTATCGACCACCTGCATATATTGTGTACTAGAATCCCGTTACTTCCCATCACCTGGATTCTATCACCCAACCCCCTTCTAAAAATAGCTGAAATAAAGTTAAGTACAGTGAGGCCTTGACTTACGAGTGTCCCGACTAACGAGTTTTTCGAGATATGAGCCGTCTCTCGGCCGATTTTTTGCTTTGAGTTGCGAGCTAAAATTCGGGTTACGAGCCAGCTTCAGATACGCCACTGCTAGTTGGCGCAGCGAACATCACAGTGAACGCCACATCAGCCAAGCATCACGTGTCTCACTTGTTCACTTTTGATTTGACATATGAGTAATTTGAGTTACGAGCTCCGTCACGGAACGAATTAAACTCGTAAGTCAAGGCCCCACTGTACTTTCAGCCCCCCATAAAAGCAGAAGGTGCATAGCCCCAGTCAGGCTGGGGTGAGATGCTGTCCTCTCCCCTAAAAACAAATAAATACAAAGAGTAGACGTAACTGATTATGTGGGTCAGGTCCTCAGATGCCCGCAACCTGTGGCGTGGGCTATTGTTAACATGCCCTCTTCCCCTTTCTCACCTGACCAACCTCCCTGCACCCGCCACCCCCTCCCATGGCCTCTCCACAGAGCAGCAAAGGGTAAAGAGAGTAGGGTTGTCAGGCCAGCCCCCTGGAGAAGGCCTGGGTCCCGCATGGCCACTGCACAACTCACTTTGTCTCTCAAGGTCCATTCCTCGTCTGTAAACTGTGAATGACAACGTTTGGGAATTGCCGTTGCCGTGAAGCACACATTCTGTGATGTGGCAAATCTAGGCAATGCTTCCAACTGTGAAGTAGGCCGTGTGGAGAACATGCGCCTCCCTGGGGCTCTCTTCTATTTTTATCAAATGCTTTGTTTGATTTCCCTCTAATGGGCTTCCGCTGGAGGTCAGGTAGGGCTTTGCTTTTGTAGCCTGTCCTGATCGGAGCTTAGATTTCTCAGGGACCTCAGGGACCTGCCCATAAATAGTCTTTATTTACTTTTCCTGTGGTCTGGCTCCTTTTTTTTTTTTTTAGGCAAAGTTTGGCCACTGGTCACTTCTGGGTTGAGAAACCAGGTGACCAGGTCTCTGCCTTATTATGCCCAGTGCTGACACAGCCCTGGAAGCCAGAGTGATGTACAATAAGGAGAGGCGGGTAGCTCAGTTATTGATGAGATACTGCCACTAAATAAGGGCCTATATTTTCTCCCAATCTCATTGAAAAACACAGGTGAGGCTGAAGAATCAACCCAGTGAGGTTCGAAGTCTTAACCTTACCTTTTGTTTAAAGTTGTCATACAAAATGCTCAAGATCCTAGGGACATCTTGACTGGTTCTGATAGAAAGGTTATTTCTAATGCTATTCCTTACGGAGAAAGTCTGGGCAATAAAGAAAAAGGAGAAAGATCACGAGGTTATCTTGATTTTATGTTACAAAGACAGCAACTCTCAATATTTCAGCACATTTCATCCCGCCTTCCTTCAAGTATAACTTTCACACAATTATGCCCACAAGCTATGTGTCCATATGCTAATTTTAAATTCTGCTTTTTCACTTAATATTTTCCTATGTGTATTATACCAAATTGCCCAAAATTAAATAAATTATATAAATTTCATTTTAAAGACTGGATATTTTATTATAGACATACCATTGATTATTTAAACCATTCTTCTTTGTATAGGATATAAAATTGGATTATTTTCCACTTTATACTATTACTAGAGGCCCAGTGCACAACATTCATGCACTGAGGGGGGGGGGGCGTCCCTCAGCCTGGCCTGCACCCTCTCACAGGTCGGGAACCCTCAGCAGTCCTTAGCACTGCTGCGGAGGCGGGAGAGGCTCCCGCCACCACCTCTGCACTCACCAGGCTTCTGGTTGAGTGGCGCTCCCCCTGTGGGAGCACGCTGATCACCAGGGGGCAGCTCCTGCATTGAGTATCTGCCCCCTGATGGTCAGTGTGCATCATAGCAACTGCCATTCGGTCAATTTGCATATTAGCCTTTTATTATATAGGATCTGTGTTCACAATGAAATGACTTTTCACTTTAAAAAAACATACAGTAGGTTGAAAGTTTTATTTCTAATTTATTCCATGGCTTTGAAGTTTAGAAAGCCCTTTCATAAAGTAATCAGAGAGGAATTAACCTATATTTTCCTTTATATTTTTGTAAGTTTAATTTATTAAACTTCTTGGAATTTATTTTGATATATTAAGAGGTAATAGACTTTTTTTTCAAAATAGTCCATCATATAGACATTGAATATTTATTGCCTTTAGCTCTATTATTATTCAAAATATTTTTTCAGTTGATTCCCTTGGATTTTCTAGTTATAAAATTGTCTCCTACTTAATAAAAATTTGTTCCTTTGACATCAGGTCATAATATTTAACACTGTCATAGTATCAACATACTATCTTTGCACATATTTGTACAACAACATCTTGCTCTGACACATGTCCTGGCTTCTGCTGCAGGAGCAGTACATTTTCATCCATCAGTGTGTGCAGCTGATATGGACGAAGAAGAAGCAGCAGTTCTGCATCAGTGACGTCATCTACGAGAATGTCAGCAAGTCCTAGTCAGAATCCGGAGCAGTAAGTAGGGAAGTGCCCTTCGTGGGAGGGACATGATGAGCCACAGCGAAAGGCAGCAGCAGCCACTTGTCTGACTCTGACCCCACAGAGGTGGTCAGGAAAGGTGGGCGCAGGGAGAGGCAGGCACTGTAGCAGATCTTAGCGCTTCAGTGGGCCTTGGTTGGTGGGTGTGACATGAAGGCACTTCGGCAGCTCATGATGATTTGACCTCCATCCCTTCCACCCTGAACCTTAAATTACTGATTTTGGCTCTGTGCCTATAACATCAGGATATAATCATCCACCCTATTTATGTAGACATTTTGTGCAAGTAGTTTATTGATTACAAAAGGGTCATAAAGGGACTACAAAGAAGACATGAGCTGGAGTGAACACCCCAAAGGAGAAAATATTGACAGTAGTTCAGGATAGCAGAGTCTAGAAACACCTTGATCTTACCCATTATAAGCACTTACTTGAGAGCGTCCTGAATACATTAGTAACATATTCAATGTCATGTGCTCCAATTTTGACTAGAAGGTCAGATTTTAGTTGTGTAAGTAATTGGCTCAAGTAACAAGTAATCTGCCCATTCAACTCAGTAAGCAGAGTGTGAACTGTGTCTGAATATACAAAAGGGGGCAGGACCACGGACTGGGTGGGAGAGGACAGGGTGCATTGTGGGAGAAATGTGGAAGAAGTAGTATATGGACCACTGGGTAGCAGGATTGGACTAGCATCGTGCCTTTATATCCACCAAGAAAGAGACAGAAAGCACAAAGAGGCAGGAAGGATAAAGAATAAGGAAAGAGAGCCTGGCCATTGTAGCTCAATGGTTGAGCATCAACCTATGAACCAGGAGGTCACAATTAGATTCCTGGTCAGGGCACATGCCTGGGTTGCAGGCTTGATCCCCAATGGGGGGTATGCAGGAGGCAGCCGATCAATGGTTCTCTCTCATCATTGATGTTCCTATCCCTCTCTCCCACTTTCTTCCTCTGTGAAATCAATAAAAATGTATTTTTTAAAGAAGAATAAGGGGAGAGAGAGAGAGAGAGAGAAACAGAGAGAGAGAGAGAGAGAGAGAGAGAGAGAGAGAGAGAGAGAGAGAAGTTTGCAGGTAGAGGGAAAGAGGTTCAGATTCACAGAAAGTAGGAATTACACAGAGAAAGCTGCACACCCGTCTGCCCAGGCTGTGGGGTGAATGTAATGAAAGCAAGCGGTAGAGTGGGAGGAAGGGGCTGTACTTCCGGCCACAGGGCTGTTGATGGGCAGCTTTGCCCTCCCAGCCTGCTTACTGTTTCTCTCTCTCATTCACAGGACAGGACACAGTGTGCGCCCATCCTCCCTTGCTTCCAGAGTTTTGGGGGCCCCTGCTAGCCATTTGCTAAGAGGAGCCCCTGCTTTGTAATATGTGGCCAAGGAGATCCTGTATCTCGTAGAAGCACCGGGAAGACTTAGCCTTAAAGAGCCTACAGTGTCTTTTGGACTCTTTCACTTCTGGACATTTAATAACAAACCAAATTCGACGGAACACCCGGAGGTCCAGACGCTCTGCCCAGGGCAGGAAGCACAGCCCCTTCCCGAGAGTTTTGCTGGCCCCTCTCTGGTCGGGCTGAGCTTTTTGTTGCTGTTTCCAAGTGCAATGATTTTCATCTGTGTATGATTTTATCAGAACGTTGAATTGTTTCCTGCTCACACAATTGATCAAGCCCATAGCCCACGAAGGAAAGGCATTGTTAGTCTAAAATTATACCTCATTGTGAGAAAGAGGCATGGCCACATATAAAGAAATGGTGATTCTACTTCAAGAAAATTGAACCAGCGATACCTGCACCCCAACGTTGAGCTATGGGATCAGGAGCAGGGAGGGTGGACCTGGGAAGAGAGAGCAGTTCTACCCAGAGATCAGCCACCTATCTTTTCCAAATACGAAAAGCTGGAATTCAGCTTCAAAGTAGAGTAGAAAAAAATATTTAATTCTTAATTGTTCTAGTTCTTGATGGTTTTCTTCCGTATTAACAGTCAAGTGTTTCTTCCTTGGCCCCCTGGGACTAATGTCGCCAGCCAGGTTCTTTTGCCACAAACCAGATCTGATTCGAAGAGTCAAAAGTCTGACTCTTCAGACTCCGTCGCGGTCTGAGCAAGCTTGGTGCCTAGTCTCTGCATTGTTTTTGTTTTTTTGTTCATACGTGGGGAGCGACTTCTGTGAGAACTACATAGGATGTGAAAACCGCACTTTCTTTCCCCCAGACAGCTGGGGATTTCTGAAAACATGGCAATGAACTGCAGCGCGCTAGGACAATTATTTGGCTGCCACTTTTTTTTTTTTTTAATTGTCAAGTGTCACTGTGAATATCAACAGAGATTTCTTTTTGTTTTCTGGGGTTTTTTGTTGTTGTTGTTGTTGTTGTCAGTTTCGTTTTAATCAGTGTAACCAGTAACATTTTATCCCACTCTTTAGATTTTGTAGAATTCCATGATTGTGTATTGTGACATGAACGCTGTCAGAATGGACACAGATGGCACCGTGGGGCCTGTTCCGTTGTGTCCCCGAGGAATCAGGGCTGACGGTGTGCAAAGGAAAACCTTCTGAGGGAGAGGAAGCACACGCCGGCTGCTTCCTCGTGGTGGTGTGGCCGGAGCGAGCCTGCCCGCGTGGCTTGGCCAGGCTTTGCCCCTCTCCGCGTATGGATCAGTGCCCCTCGCCCTGGCCTCCCTCCATTCCTGATCATCTTCATGGAGCCGTGAGCATAGGATCAGCTTAATATTTTATCAGTGACCTTGGTGATGGTGAAGGGTGCCAAGTGAACAGCTCTGCACCCCACCGTCTTGTCACCGAGACGACCTGGCCACAGCAGAGTTTGGCGCGGTTCTCAGCGAGTCCTGGCCAGCCAGGTTCAGGTTAACCGCAGGGGTGCCCACGCCCTGCAGGTTAGCAGCTCGGGCTCCCAGGCTTGTCAGTTACACTCGCCTCCCTTCCTCCCCTCCTTGCCTCGCTGCGCCACCGCCTCTTCTCACCTCGCCCCTCTCTTTCCTTCTTGGACACGTGAATAAGGCATCGCTCCATGCTCAGGTGCACGCACCGCTAAAGAAAGGCGGCACGGGTCGGTAGATTTTTCACACACAGACGGGCCCGGAGGGAAGTGTGCCACCTTGGCTGAGCCGATAAGCCGCGTGGGTGTGCCGGAATCCATTTCCAATTTCCGTAAGCGGGAACATTCCTTCCCCTGAAACTTAAGGCACGTCATCAATATTTCATGTTTTTCTCCAGCACCCCTTCGGGGAGGGATCAAATAGTACCAGATCGGTTTTCCCAAAAGAGAAGATGAGGTATCCAGACTTAGACTGAGGACTCGGAGTTTAGATGATGACAGGAGGGTCACACGCAAGCACGTTCCCGGGTCTTGTTCCTCAGGCTCTCCGTCCGTCACTGTCCCCGCACGGGCACACTGCACCCCCCAGTTTGTGAGTGGGTCGTGAGGAAGCAGAGATCTGCCAGAAGCCTGGGGTTTTTAATCTTGACTTTGGAACTCCTCTCTCCTGAGTCTCAGTCAATAAACTTTTGAAAAAACTAAAAACAGCTCCGTATTCTGAGGGTGTAAAGAGTATCAAATGTAATAACCCCCCAAAGGCGCTTTGTAGCTTGTTCTTTCATGGCTCCTAAGGCCACTCTAAGCAGCTTAATTTCCACCCCAGGACTCAATGATAAGCATTCCGAGGGGCGGCTGTGGGGCCTCTGTATTAGGGATTAGTTTTTTAAAATCATCTCCGTACTGTTTTTACTGAACACAGAGGCACTGGCCCACGCGGCTCCTAACAGTCTACGTGGTGCAGAGCCAATTTCTGAAGTTAACAGAGAAACTACCATGAGAATCGATTTACAAATTGAATAGTTAACACCAACGGAGCCAGCACTGCACATTATACGATTTTACTCAACTTGAAAGGGAAAGAAAGTGGTAGAGGACTGCAATTTTTTTTTTTTTTTTGGACAGAATGCTAATTCAGGCTTTACAATTTTCCACGATGAAGTCGGCGTTGCCCCTACTGCCCTAAATTTAAAATGACAAAAGTTAGTAAGATTTCAAAAAATCTCTTATCAAAATCTGTCTAACCTCTTCTAAAACGTTTAATCAGATTTTATAGGGTCTCTCTTTTTCTAAAAGCTGTCCCTGCCCCTCCAGAGGCTTGCGTTTCTGAAAGAAGGCCGCGGTGACAACGGGGAGAGTGGGGGCGGGAGGCCCTGGATCTGGATTTTTTGCAGACCATATGATAGCTGCTTGCTAGAGGCTTGGGCCTTCGCCAACGAGTTCAGGTTACTGAATCCAATCTCTAAGAGCCAAAATCCTCCCTGCTTTCTAGCAAGGAGGCCTTCCTCTCTGCCTCAGGAAACGTGATGTCATGCGCTTCAAATGAGCTGGCTCGTTTCCTAGCTCACAGATCGCTGGTCTGCTACTTGGCACGAGCTCAGAGTCCAGGGGCCATACCTAGGACGCAACACAACACCCACGTTGGCCAAAGGCGTGATAAAGAAACAAAAACACAACATGTGCAAAAACGGCAAACTTCTGCCCCTGGCTTCCTAACAGCCCCGTGCGGATGCATGTGAAGGAAACGTAAGCCAGGACATCGCTGGTGCCTGGCCTGCCAGAACAGCAGGACTTTGTGTTCCGTTTCAACTGATGCTCATCACGAGGCCTGATCCCGGTGTCACTCCCTTAAATGCTTAGCTCTGGAGGGACCTGAACAAACTAAAGGTTGTCCAGGACAGGGTCACTAGAACTATTAGGGATGTGGAAAACGACAAGTCATAGTGACAGCATGTGGGAAAAGTGAGGGTGTTAATGAGGAAATCATCCATTCAGCCGGTCAGTCACTGTACAAATGTTTGTCTACCTAAGCATGGTGAATGAGTGAATCCATCCACCAATGAAAGAACTCCTCACCACTTACAATATACTAGGCACTAGAAGCATAAGTGGTGCTATGTACTGATTATTTAAAATGTGTGATAGAATCAGAGTTTCATTGCTGTTTTTGGAAGGACAAAAAAAAGTCTTTTCCAAGACTCAGTGCCTCTTCCTTGGTGAGAAATTCCACCTCCTACTCAAAGCACACCCCTGGCAGATGGCTGATTCTTTCCTACTGAGCACGTCCAGGGTGTGGAACTGCCACCTCACAGGGCAGCCCATCCCCTCATTTGTCAGAGAGCATTTCCTCCTGTCTACGCAGCCAGGGAACCTAACATTGAGGCTGTGAGTCCCTGCTTCTCGGGGCTATACTAGCAGTGGTTCTCAACCTTCTGGCCCTTTAAATACAGTTCCTCATGTTGTGACCCAACCATAACATTATTTTCATTGCTACTTCATAACTGTAATGTTGCTACTGTTATGAATCGTAATGTAAATATCTGATATGCAGGATGGTCTTAGGCGACCCCTGTGAAAGGGTCGTTCGACCGCCAAAGGGGTCGCGACCCACAGGTTGAGAACCGCTGGGCTATAGGCTGAAGCCCAAATCTACTTCCCATTTTGGTAAAAGGGCAGGTGCTGTGAGCATGCCACTGCCCAGGGCATGAAATTTGATAAACAAAGTAAAGCTGCCCAGAGCTTTAAACAGAGGCCTGGTTTTCTTTTAAGCATTTACACCTGACTCCCAGGGGAGAAATGGTGGGTGTGCATTTTTCTCCAAATGCGGTAAGCTCTTTATATGCATGTTCTCTTAATTTCTTAAGAGTAGCCATTTAGCAGGAGAAGAAATGGAGAGGCAGTTGGGTTAAGTAAATTATAACAGCCACTGGGGGTACCCACCTAGCTCTGTCTAGCCAAAATATCCCTTTTCCCCACTTCATGCTGCTTCTCATCCATAGTTCCCACTGATGAACTAAAATAGAACAGCTTCATTTTAGGTAGTGTGTTTAATAGAGAGGGTCATTTTCAATGCTAGAAATATTACATTTCTAACCCTCTAAGAAAGTAATTTTACTTAACATCCTATGCCAGGGACTGTAGGAGGGGCTGGGATATGAAGATGGGTGAGACAGGGTCCTAGCTTTAAGGAGTTAGCATCCTCATAGGAAAATCAGAAGTGAAACCACGGGCAACAAAGTGTTGCAGATGCCGCGACAGAAACACACAAAGCATCCCATGGAGGCCCGAGAGAAGGACGGCGAGTTTCTTCTGGAAGGTCCAGGAAAGGCCGTCCTGCCACAGTCAAGTGTGAAAGACTACGGAGCCGCATTAAAGGACGCCAGTGATGCACTCATTCCTGCCGTCAGCACCCACTCACAGAACAGCCACCTCCCAGGCACCGGGCCCTGCGGATGACCAACCCGTCAGCCCTGCCTGATGAGGCTTTTCTTCCTCGCTGACACCAGAGGGACAACTTCTTTCCGGCCTCCCCAGATGCTCATGTGTTACTCTGCAGACCCCCTCCCTGGCTTTTTACTGTGACTGCAAACATAATAGCGCACATTGGGGCCACCTCTCCCAGCCACTTGCAGTTACTTCTGGCAAGTGGAAGGTAAGCTAGAGTAAGACTTCACACCCTGGCCCCTGGCCCCTGGCCCCTTGCCCCTGCAATTCACTCTGTCCCCTCCTCTCCCACCTCCCCACCCCCCACAGAGATGGTGGTGCCAAAAAGATGGAAAGAGCTGGGTCCCTGAGTCACCTGCAGGAGGAAGAGCTGCCTGCTGAGCCATGACGTGATCAAGGAACACATTCCTGTCATGTTGGCACTGAGATGCTGGTCTTGCCAGCTCGGGCTGTCAGTCTGCCCTTAGCTAATCTGGCAGCTAAAGGACACCTTTACAACTAGGTTCGGTCTCAGAGACAGTGGGAGTTCTTCGGTCAATGGTGTGTGACTATCCGATAAAATTCCCAGAGAACAGGTGAGCGTTGAAACAGATCAGAGCCAGGGTAACCCACAATGCGAACAAGGACTTGGGAAAAGCCACAGAACAATGATGGTTCTTTGAATAAATAAACTTTGCTATTAAAATAAATGCAGGCTTCTCCAGAGGTAGATTTCCTCCAAGTTGGATCTCTCTTTCTCTCTCTCTTTTTTTTCATGTCTCTTTCCAAACCCCATAATAAGACCATTACTTAAGAAACTCACTAGGATGTCTTAGTCTTATGCAAGGCTATTGGCTCTGAATCAGAGTCCCGGTTTCCTATGAACAATAGGCCCCACAGTGGTTTCCCATCAATAAAAGCCCAACGGCCAGGAGGCCAGGAGGCTTGGCATGTGGATGCTGCTGAGCTAGCCAGGTCTTTGGCTTGTGTGTGTCATGATGAATTCCAGGGCAGTGGATAGGAGCTCAGAGCAGCTGACACAAGCAGGTCTAAGAACACCACAAATCCAAGGGCTGCTTCAACTAGGAACAGTTAGCTGCCACCGCTACAAATACAAAACAGAATGGTCTTGGAAGGGTTCCTTCATGTTCAAAACTGAACTAGGTCATGTCCTCCCTTAACCAATGAATGTGGGCAGCAGTACAGCGCAGGGCCCAGCAGCGGTACAGAGCAGAGCAATTTAGAAGACTCTGCCCCTGATTGAGACTCAGTCATCTCATCTGTGAAATGGGCTTAGTGATGGCAGCTTTCTCATAGGGCTTTAAGAAGATAAAACAGATAATGTGTCAGGGGCTGAAAATAATACGTGGAGTAACGTATTATATTACATGGCTCCCTGGTACAAGCAAACCTCCCACCGTCTCCAAGGGCCATCTTGGGATCTTTGAAGAAATTTCATAAGAGCATCTGAAGCTGGTCCCTGAGCGGGACTGGCTCAGTTTCTTCATGGTGACGCCTGAAACTCCATCCCTCCTGATCCCCCCCATCTCAGACCTCAGAATAGAAAGCAGGTGCAGCCTGTGACCCAGCGTGGACGCTGTGTCTCAGGCAAGTGGTGCCAAAGCAGGAGCAGACCCTCTACCCAGAGGCCTGGGCTGCCCCGGCCTGGCTTTCTGCTTGGACTCTGTGTGAGTTTCGTGTCTCCTGCTCATGAGCTGTGCTAGAGGGTTTCCCAGCAAAGCAGTGCCAGGGCCTGAGTCACATTCAGTGAGCACCATTGAATCCCTCTGCGCACGGGTGTCCTTGTTCGAAGGGGGGAATTAGAAGCGATTCCTCCACAGGGTTGCACTGGGGTGACGTGTAAAGCCCTTGGCATGGTGCTTGGTGGTTTGGGGGTGCAGGGTGACATCACAGAAAAGCACAGACTTTTGAGTCACAGCAGCCTGTGCTTTGACACTGAGGTGTGTTTCCTTGAGAAGTCACCTACCATCTCCCACAAAAAGAAATGAAAAGGCATATCTGCCTTGTGGAGTTGTGGTAAAACGCAGAACTGGTTGTGTGAAGCACTCGCGGAGGGCAGGCAGCGTCGGCATGGAATACATAAACGATGCAGGGTTCTGAGTCTCTCTCGGTACGATTAGACCACCACTCCTTCCCACTCATTCCAGCACCAAGACATCCCCAGAGTGAGCATGCCCGTTTCACACGGGATCCCCCCTGGGCACACTAACGAGCATGGAGCACGCCGTCTATGAGGCCTGCTCCCCAGTATAGTGGTAACCACCTTCCCTGCTAAGAGCTGCCAAACCTGGAGTCAGCAACGCGGTCCGAGCGGCCTCCCCTGCACACGTCTGATGGAGTGAGTTACGGGCAACTCCTCAATCTAACAAATGCTGAAAGAAGTGGGAAGCATCCAAGTGATGCCAGATCGCTATTTTAATTTGCATTTTGTAAATCCATTGCGCTGTCACCAAGGCATAAAATGAGAAGTCATTTCCCCATTTTTTTTCTATTGCTGCAAGACAAATGAAATGAATTACCCAAATGTCTAAATGCTGCCCTGTAAGATTGGTTGTAGAGAAGAGGCAATAAACTTAACTTCTCTGTGCTGGTTTCCTAATGTAAAATGTGTTTTCACTTATGGCTGCGGGATGCTGGGTTGCTACAGTTGTTACCACTCCAGACCTCCTCACCTTGCATAGGGCTGCATTTTGTAAGCGGGACTGCAGGCTGTGGCCACTGCCTTAGCCTGTGGTCCCACGGCTCTGCCGCTTGCATTCATCACTAGCACAAGCCTTCTAGGAGCTGGAGACTCCACCATTGTCATGTTTACTGAATAAGCCACAAGCAGATTAACACACAGCAAATGCATGTCTGTTCCTGGTCTGGCCTGGCTATCACGGGGAAGATTGGCACCAGGATCAGCTAATTTTTGGCCCTGATTTATTAGTATTTTATATGATTTTTACTTCAAAGCATAAATGTGGACCTCCGAGAAGACGTCCAAAGGTAATTTTCTTGTCTACACCAGGTGGTGCTTTGAAGCGGTGGTCAGCCTCTGAAATCCCCCACAGCTGTCAGTGGCTGTTGAGACCGAGAACTGCATTTCTGGGTCTGATGTTGCCATGGATGGTCAGCTGCCCATCTACCTTCATGGGCCTGGAGGGCCTTCACGGGAGGCCACCTGGGGAGAAGGACCAGTGATTTCCCATGCGGCTCTGCCCCTTCAATGACAGAAACTCTGATTTTACCTAACTTATACGGTGGAACACTATGTAAAAATTTCATGTTTAAAAAATGTGTTCTGCTTAAAATTTTTTCACACACTAACCTATGATATCTGAGAGAAGAGATTGGTAGGCTATATAGAAGTTCCAGAGCATTGAATCTAAATTGAGCTGTCCCACTTACTCCGTGACTTTGTATAAGCTCCTTATATCCAAGCTTCTATTCCTTCATCTGTAAAAGTGGGGGTACCTGTGATACTTCTCAGCACACGAGTTCAGTTCTTGTTCCCCTTCCTTTGAGAATAGATGGGAGGGCAGAAGGCCTTATGTCAGCGGTTCTCAACCTGTGGGTCTCGACCCCTTTGGGAGTCAAATGACCCTTTCACATGGGTCGCCTAAGACCATCAGAAAACACATCTATAATTACATATTGTTTTTGTGATTAATCACTATGCTTTAATTATGTTCAATTTGTAACAATGAAAATACATCCTGCATATCAGATATTTACATTACGATTCATAACAGTAGCAAATTAGTTATGAAGTAGCAACGAAAATAATTTTATGGTTGGGGGTCACCACAACATGAGGAACTGTATTAAAGGGTCACGGCATTAGAAAGGTTGAGAACCACTGCCTAATGTATTACCAGCTAAGAGGAAGAAATGTTAAAATGAGACAGCTGTGAAAGACCTACAGGTACTAATTTATCATCATGTGTGTGCCTATGTGTGTGATTCCTTACTTTTCCATGACCTGAGACTGTGTGTTCATTTGTAGGGACAGGAATGACTGAAGTCGGAGAAACTGTGTTCCTCTCACAGCCAGGTTTGAGGGACAGGACTGCTGCCAAG